AATGTCTGGTGGTAGAATTAGTGCATGGATAGTGTTAAAAAACCACCATTTGAAATACCCTAGGGTGTCTACTTTCCAAAAATATATGGTTTGGTGGGGGTAAAATACATTGGCCGGCCTTACAAATGTCCCAAATAGGACATGTGCGCAGGCTGACTACATGTCAAAATTCCAAGTTGAAAAATGGATATGCGCACCTGCCAAATGTGGCCTTTTAGCCCCCAAACAATCCGACAAGCCTATGCATGGGTGGTATCACTGTACTCAGGAGATGTTGCTGAACACATATTGGCATGTTGTTTGGCAGTGACACATAACACGATTTGTTAATTCATGCCTAAAGTACAATGTGTGTGAAAAACACACAAAAATGACTACCTAAATAAATAAGTTTGACAATGTCTGGTGGTAGAATTATGTGCATGGAAAGTGCTAAAACCACCATTTGAAATAATTTAGGCGTCTACTTTCCAAAATATGGTTTGCGGGTAAAATACATTGGTCGGCCTTTACAATGTCCAAATAGGGACATAAAAGAGGTTGACTACATGTCAAAATTCCGTTGAAAAATGGTTGGCGCGCGACTCGCCAAATGGCCTTTAGCCTCAAACAATCCGGACAAGCCTATGCATGGGTGGTATCACTGTACTCAGGAGATGTTGCTGAACACATATTGGTCTTGTTGTTTGGCAGTGACACATAACAATGCATTTGTTACGCCTAAATTACAATGTGTGTGAAAAAAAACACACAAAAATGACTACCTAAATGTTTGACAAAGTCTGGTGGTAGAATTAGTGCATGGAAAGTGTTAAAAAACCACCATTTGAAATACCCTAGGGTGTCTACTTTCCAAAAATATATGATTTGGTGGGGGTAAAATACATTGGCCGGCCTTACAAATGTCCCAAATAGGACATGTGCGCAGGTTGACTACATGTCAAAATTCCAAGTTGAAAAATGGATATGCGCACCTGCCAAATGTGGCCTTTTAGCCCCCAAACAATCCGACAAGCCTATGCATGGGTGGTATCACTGTACTCAGGAGATGTTGCTGAACACATATTGGCGTGTTGTTTGGCAGTGACACATAACACGATTTGTTAATTCATGCCTAAAGTACAATGTGTGTGAAAAAAAACACACAAAAAATTACTACCTAAATGTTTGACAAAGTCTGGTGGTAGAATTAGTGCATGGAAAGTGTTAAAAAACCACCATTTGAAATACCCTAGGGTGTCTACTTTCCAAAAATATATGGTTTGGTGGGGTAAAATACATTGGCCGGCCTTACAAATGTCCCAAATAGGACATGTGCGCAGGTTGACTACATGTCAAAATTCCAAGTTGAAAAATGGATATGCGCACCTGCCAAATGTGGCCTTTTAGCCCCCAAACAATCCGACAAGCCTATGCATGGGTGGTATCACTGTACTCAGGAGATGTTGCTGAACACATATTGGCGTGTTGTTTGGCAGTGACACATAACACGATTTGTTAATTCATGCCTAAAGTACAATGTGTGTGAAAAAAAACACACAAAAATGACTACCTAAATGTTTGACAATGTCTGGTGGTAGAATTAGTGCATGGAAAGTGTTAAAAAACCACCATTTGAAATACCCTAGGGTGTCTACTTTCCAAAATATATGGTTTGGTGGGGGTAAAATACATTGGCCGGCCTTACAAATGTCCCAAATAGGACATGTGCGCAGGTTGACTACATGTCAAAATTCCAAGTTGAAAAATGGATATGCGCACCTGCCAAATGTGGCCTTTTAGCCCCCAAACAATCCGACAAGCCTATGCATGGGTGGTATCACTGTACTCAGGAGATGTTGCTGAACACATATTGGCGTGTTTTTGGCAGCAAGACATAACAGGATCTGTAAGTTTATACCTGAATTGCAATGTATGTGAAAAAAAACAACTATCTATGCAAAGTTTGGCAAAGACTTGTGGTAAAATGGCTGCATAGAAAGTGTCAAAATATCCTTAGATGAATACCCTGGGTTGTCTACTTTAAAAAAAATATATACATGTGGAGTGTTTTCCAGAGATTTATGACAGATAATAGTGTTACAATGTCACTATTGATACATTTAAAAAAAATTTGTTTTGAAACCGCCATATCCTACTTGTACCTATAGCCCTATAACTTGCAAAAAAAGCAAAAAAGCATGTAAACACTGGGTATTTTTAAACTCAGGACAACATTTTGAATCTATTTAGCTGTTTTTTTCATTCGCTTTTGTAGATGAGTAAAAGATTTTTCAAGTAAAAGTAAAAAAACATGTATTTTTTTAAATTTTTCATCATATTTTTTTATTTTTTTAAAATTAAAATACATGAGATTATATAAATAATGGTATGTAAAGAAAGCCCCTTTTGTCCTGAAAAAAACAATATATAATTTGTATGGGAACAGTAAATGAGAGAGTGGAAAATAACAGCTAAACACAAACACCAGAAAAGTGTAAAAATATTCCTGGTTGCAAATGTACAACATCGCAAAAACAGTCCAGTCCTTAAGGGGTTAAAGGTTAAAAAGTAAGTTATTAGTGATTTTCAGTGTTTACACAAAGGTGTTAATTCCAGAGAAGTGACACTTCCCTTTATTTGTCAGTACTGAATAAAAGAAGCATGTGTCCACACTTCCTTATCCTGCTTTGTTTGTGCTCTGTATGGTGGTTGGATTTGCAAGTGATGCTTGTCTTGAATCATTGTGTGCATGCAAATTTTTCATATATTTTGCTTCTGCATATTTTCCACAAATGCAGTTTCATAAGATTCATTTAGCTACTAACAAACCCATATTTATTTATTTCCCATTATTTCAACAATGTAATGGTAATGCAATGTTATATAAAATACTGAAAGAATATTTAAGGATTAACCAGAGTTAAATTCAGGTTCCTCTAGAACCAAAACTATAGCTACCCAATTAGACCTCTCATTGAGATTAAGACTAAGTTCAGGGTGAAAAACAGTCAGAAATAGAATGGGTATAAGTTGTTCTGGCAATGAAAAAACTAAGTAGACCTAAGAGTTAATCATAAATTCTGTTTTGTGATGTCCCTAACACACAAATAATCATGGGTCCTAGCCAGTACTGAGTCTTGCAGGCAGTCTGACTGATCCATAGACGGTTACCAACTAGTTCTTTCAAGAATGATATTGACATACCCCTAAAACAAATATTTAAATCATGTTTAACCCCTTAACGACGCATGATGGAATTATTCCGTTACGTCACTTAAGGACTCATGACGAAATAATTCCATTATGGGGTATTTTTACCAGCAGGGACCATTTCATTTCACAGTTTCATTTGATACCTGGGCTATCCTCTGTCAACTAGGGGCCAAAATTAGTGGTCCCAGACTGACTAATGCTCTGTTTGTAGTGCTCAAAGTGAGCACTACAAACAGGCATTTGCATGGGGATTGAAATCACCATTACTACAATGTGGTACAAGCAAGGTTAAATTCCTGTTCACACCAGGAAGTCCCAGGTATCAATCGATACTTGAGACTGTCCTCTGTCAGATGGGGACATAAAGTTATGAATAAAGTTATGAATAATGTGGAAAAACTGTGTTTCTCTGCCTGTGATAATTACATTAACCCATTGTGTAAGGTAATTGTATCACAGGCAGAGGGGAGGATTTTGTGTGGGAGTGTCTGAGTGTATTGTATGTGTTTATTGGTTGTTTTCCAAAACCCTGTGGGTGGTACTAATGTGTAAGAATGTGCATATAAGAACAATAAACTCACAGCTCTGTCTGTTCCTGCTTGACCCTCAAAACGGAGCCTTGTCTCGTTCTTGGAGGGACTTATTGTATGCTGTTCCAGTTCGACTGCTAGGAGTGTAAACCTATTCGTATGGTTTTTCCTATTCAGCTGTTTGCAGCATACGTATGTTTGAGAGCATTCGAATGCTTCTCCGGTTCGGTGGATTGGTGTCTACAGTAGCTGCCTGTATATCTTGAAGGGAATATCTCCTAAACGGCTTTTAACCCCTTTTATGCCTGGGGGTGCCGTTACACTGGATAATCAGCATCTCCTCATAGAGATGAAATTAATGTATGTCTATGAGGAAAGTTCAGTGTCTCCATGCAGAGGGAGAAGACGCTGAATGGCAGTGCTGCTTACTCTGCAGCACTGCCCAAGGAAGCACCTCTAGCAGCCATCTAAGGAGTGGCCAGTGGAGTTATCACTAGGGTGTAATGTAAACACTGCATTTTATCTGAAAAGACTGTGTTTACAGCAAAAAGCCTGAAAAACTGATTATACTCACAAGAACATATGCAAAAAGCTGTAGTTGTTCTGGTGACTATAGTGTCCTTTTAAGCTCTGCTGAAGATCCATGCGGTGTGGAGTGGTGCGCCAAGGGGGCTGCTAGGAACTCTCTACACTGATTTCCCAGCTCCCTCGTGCACCCTGTACTGCTCCTAGAGCTGGGATATGACATTATCACAGACCCGGCAACAGTACAGAACTGCAGGGAGCTGGGCAGCTAGTGAAGGGAGATCCCTTCAGCACCTCACTGGAAACCATTAAGGAGGTTCCCCTTTAGCTCTGCCTGTCAAGGTAAAAACAGGGAGTCTGGATAGACCCCAGTGTTTAAATAATATGAATTTTTATTAATACAAATGTGTAAATATATGAATGTCAAGCAAGCAAGATTGCTTTATTTTTTACAGATTGGAGGAGGGGGTGTCAATATGTCCGCCCAAGTGTCATGTACGCCTCTGCTCTTTCCTCTTTCTCTCCCTTCTAATTCCATATTTCCCTCCCTTTGCTGGCTCAGAACACTCACATGGAATTTGAGCATGTTACATGTTCCAATCATTAGTAATTTTAACAGTGTTTTGAGTGTCTTTTAGAGGTCCTAAATAATATTTCCAATAAGGCATAATTCAAAGACAACAACAAAAAAGGGGGTTTGATAACTCTTTTAATAACTTTCTAGCTCTGATTAATTTCACGGTGGTCCTTACCTCTGAAACGTCTGACACATTAACAAGGAAGCGGGTTTTCTTCTTGTTTTCCTCGGACATACACTTGCTGTGTTGTAGAATCCATGGAACACTTATGGTTACTGAGATGGAGTTGGATGAGCTAGAGAGAGCCACGGTTGGTGGGCCAATGGTTGCTGAATTAGAACACATAGGAGACAGGCTGTTGTATATTAACAAGTATAGTACCTCGATTTCAAGTTTGTGTCTTACCATTGTCCTTCTGTGATAGGAGACATAGTCATCTATAAAAAATACTCAGACTTGCTATTTATATTGCTCATGCATTTTCATTTATGAGATGAGATATCTCTACTTCAGAATTTAAGTTACTTATATAAGCCCAACCTCCTCTTCATCATGCATCTCTGTCTTTATCTGTATTAAATGCCCTGTCAAATAAGTTCATTAGGGATAATGATCTAGAAGACAGACTTTAAGAATGTGGAACCCTGTGCAGTGTAGACAGGAGAAGTGAGTAGGAGCAGAGTCCCTGTTATTGTGCTGGAAACCAAGGTCCAGAGACAAACTTACTGTCATGGAATGGATGAAAGCTTTTGCTATTTGTCCAGCGTGAAGAAGACTTTCCTGTTGTAACTCTCACTCTGGCCCAAATGTTTTCACACTCATGTTCAGGACTGGATGTTACTGAAGTCAAATTGCACTGAGTCTCACGTATGCCGATACAGTCTGCTTTATTTTCCCATGGTTCTCCATATCTGTACATTTAGAAATAAATATTTTGTAAATTTGCACTTTTTTTTTATTCTACAAGTGATTTAAGGGGTTAGAGAAATGATAAAAAAAAGTTGAGTTCTATAATGTAAAGCATAATAATCATTGGTGTACAACAGTAGATAATAAATATGTGTGTGTTTCCACCACCTCTAGGTAATTTTTAACAGGCAATTTTCTTACTATATTTTTATCAATTATATTAGAGATACCTGTGCATATATACATTTCATTATTGTGCATACCTAGTTTTTTTTTTTGTTTTTTTTTTTAAGGAAAGGCAGAATATTTATTGAGTAATCAGTCATAAATGACTGCTATTTTTTTCATCAAGCAAATTAAATGCAATAGCCGTTTTGATTACTGACAAATATCGTTTAAAAATACTAACCAAATACTGAGACAAATAGAAGGAAATTCTTCAGAGATTTCTGAAAAGCATCCTTTTGAGGAAGTGGGAGGTCAACATCTCCTCAAATTCATTAAAGTGTTTTAAAAAGTTGTCTGAGAAATCTTGTTTTGTTTGTAAAAATCCAGCAGTGTTTTGCATCACCTTGGTGATGTACCATTAAACAAGTATCCTGTGGAAATATTGTGCAAGTATTCTGCCATGCTGTTGCATTGAAATAAAAGTGGTATAAGAAAATGCCAAAAAAAAAAAATGAAAAAAAAAACAGAACACTTTTTGGTGCAAGAAAATAATAAAGTTAAGTATTAATAAATAAAACGTGTGCTATAAAAAATTAATGCAAAAGGAAAAAGTTATAGAAAGGCACAAAAGTGATACACATTGGAAAAGACCATCAGAACTGATAATTATAAACCGGAAACAAAAAAATGGGGCATATTATTGTTCCCTTGCTCAAGGACTCGGAATCATTTTTGCAGATATTTGTAAAGGAGCTCTCATTAAATCTTTATGAAATCCTTATATTAAATACATTGGAATTTAACACAGTCCACGTCCTCCACTATAGCACAAACTAACTCACTGATAATGAATGATGGCAGTCTGCATAAACTATTGGGATCAACTGGACATGGATAGAATGTAGGATGTTTGATTGTGCACTCACTGTTTGTGCATGTTAAATGTGACTTATGCTCCGATAATCACAATGCCATTTATTTCCCATAGAAAAGTTTAGCTTGATCTGTTATTTTCTCTTGGAGGCATAGCTTACTTATTGCTTGCTTGCCGGAATATTGGCATAAAAATATAGTATGATCTGAGAAAACATACATCTTGTTTAGTACATTGCCGTAATTGCTGTTGCATTGATAGACTAATCATCGATTTGGAATAATCATTTTCATAAACCTGGTACTAAATAAATCTCAGGTTTTGCATGTCCCATTTTTATTGCTGTTTTGCAGATATGAAAAGTAATTTATTGCTCTCTTACGGCACTCAAAGGGTTTAGAAAAAAAAAAATCCTTTGCAATCTCATTTTTACAGCTGGGAGACTGATAACCAAACTGCCTCTTCTCTTTTAAATGACAGCTTGTGTAAACAAACATCTAGTGTGCAACTCTAAAAGAGGACTACTGCAACTCCCATCACCTCAGCCTGGCTGTGAAAGATGTGAGATGGTTTATGTCATAAACACAACATATCAACAGATATATAAAAATACAGATTAGAGATACGTACACTTGGTATTGCACGTCGTACCGGGTATCATTGCCGTCATAAAGTGTATCCCATCGCAGGAGTACCTGGTAGTTTGACGAGTTAAACCGCAAATTGGTAACCTGTGGAGCCAAGTCTATCGGTGTTATGACTAAAACAAAGATAAGGAAATAATGATAAAGAAATGCTCATTCATTTAAAGACTGATTTTAGCACATTCTAATTAAATTTAAAAGAAATTACATCCTATCTCACCTCATTTACACCTAATGAGAGGATGCCAATATAATATGGGCAAACTAGATGAGCCTTTTGGTGTGTATATATATATATATGCTGTCAACATTGATTTTAACTTATTATTCTCTAAGAATATACTTGTGCATTAAATCACCTGCTTACTAATGTGCTTAATATATTAAACCAATATATTGTTGTGTGTGTGTGTGTATTTATATATTAGATTAGACAGACAATTCTTGGATAAGATATAGATATTACATAGATATTGGGTATATACTCTTAGTTTCATATATCAAATATATTGCTATTTCTACATTTTGTTTCATTCCTATAATCACTTTAAACTTTTACAGATTATGATGTCTTTATATAATACCTCATGCATTCAGTTTACCTTAAATTAGCTGTTTTTTTTTGTTAATTTTAGCTAAATTGCAAAACCAGCTATTTAAAGTGTCAAAGATCAAGTTTTTGAAAAATGTATCTTCCTTCAGTATATACTATATGAATAGTATTTCTCGAGTTGTTTTTGTTGAATCTTTCTACTATACACTCACTTTCCCAGACTGACACCCATCTATTCACTAAATGACAATTATGCTTTTGTTAATTTGGCTGATCTTATTTAACACATTTCTTGAGTTGTTTTTGTTGAATCCTGCTCTGTTTCACTGGGTCCACTAAATATAGAATGCTAACTGAATTGATCTGAAATGACCCTGCTATTTCCAAATAAGTATCATTGATGCAGTGATGCTTTTTTTTGGGAGAGGAAGGTGGGGGGGGGGTGATTATGGTTCTGGCATCCTTATAGGGTGATTGAGGAGTTTGGGGTAGAATTAGAGTTTAAGAAGCATTGCCCTGTTTTATATCAGGGAATTTAAACTATTTTAAATGAATTAGCATTCAGCTGTTAATGTGCACTGTGAGCAACGAGGGAATTTTAAAGGAATATTACAGTATCAGGAATGCAAAAATGCATTCCTGTCACTGTAGTGCTGTTGGGGCTATTAGGGTTCTACCCCCCCCCCCCTCCCCATCCCCCTGTATGTGCAGTAAAAAGGCGACGTTTCTCACCTTTCTTTTCCACTACGTGACGTTCTCGCCATGACTAGCCCTACCTTATGCCATCTCCGTGGCTGAGATCCTCAATTTTGATGACCCCAGCCAACTCAATGTTTTCCACATTGGGGAGGCTATTGCCCACAGACAGCAAAATGCCATGCTACACCGATTAGTATCTTCTCATAGAAATGCATTGAATCTCTGAAAATGCCTGAGAATCTCTGAAAAGACAACAGTTGCATTGAAAAGTCTGCAGGGATAGGCTATAGGCACCAGAAGCACTACATTAAGCTGTAGTGACTATAGTGTCTGGTGACTGTAGTGTCCCTTTAACTTTTAAATGCAGGAAATCAGCAATTAGTGAAAAGACCCTTCACTGTATGATACAGTAATACATTTAGTATGGTAATTAGTAACTAACGAATCTGTTTTTTTTTTTTTTGGCTTACAACAGTAAGAAGTCTGACAAAGTAATGCCAATCCCTGCCAGTGGCAATCTAATTACGAATGAACATAGGAATGAACATAGGACACAGAGGAATTCCTAAATTTGTGTTGATATGTCCTTGGGCTTAAGTGGTCATTATGCTAAATTATTACAGAGCACTTTTGTTAATTTGCTAATAAACTGGCATTACACAAAGTCTATTTATTTAAAAAAAATCATCTAGATGTGACAAATAATTGGGACATAAATATATTACTTACAGCACAAGGTCCATAAACAGAAGCGAAGAATTAAACCCATCTTGGTTCTGGAGTCTTTCTACCAAAAATGGAACAAATGTTTGCCATTCAGGTGGTTTATAGCAGCTGTTCCCTATGAAATACAATGCCACATTCTACTTAACTTCTCCATTTCACATTAGTTAATGTTTATTAAATTATGGGAAGTATTCAGTTGGTTGTATGAGAAGTTCCTTAATAACACGTTCTCACTTTTCTTTTTAGCAATAAAAGTTGTGAAACTTGGGATAAACTATTGGAACAAAGGATAAATACGAATAAATAAGAAATATCACTGTAATGAATTTGTTTTAGTTCATCATGCTGCGTTGTGATCTTATTTTTGTTTTATTAATACCTGGAGATTGTGCTAAAGCTAAAAGGCTTATCCCACTATTCTGGAGGCAGTCTACCCCACCACCCCTATCCTAATGGTTTCACCAGATGGAAGAATAGGTCCCATTAAGGAGCTGTTTTTCAGCACATGGGACATACACCAACATACTTGGCGATCTAGACCCACTGGCTCCTTGCAACTGATGCTCTGGAGTTCCAAGCCGTATTATCTGAAAATATAGCGGAAAAACCTTACATTAAGGGATAAAAAGCAGGGACTGTCTACCCATTATTTAGTATCCTGAGCAGGGCGTACCTAGAGCATTTGGCACCCGGGGCGGATCCTGTGCTTGGCACCCCCTTGCCCTCCCCCAAAAAGCCCCGCCCCAGCACCAGTTTGGCCCCACCTCCGATTTTGCTTAGCTCCGCCCCACTTTTCCTCCGTGCGGCCAGTTTATCAGCTGTTTGCTTGTGTGAGCTGTACTGGCCGCACGGCACCCTAACTACCATGGGGCACTGTGCGGCCACAGCTCACACAGCTCCCTCCAGCCAGGGCCGGTGCAAGGATTTTTGCCGCCCTAGGTAAAAGTAAAGTTTGCCGCCCCCCCATGTGCCATCACAATGCCCCACCCATATGATTTGCCATGTTATCTAACGCCAGTCCTGCAGTGCCAGCGTGTTTACATTTAAAGGCCTGCAGGGACAGGCTATAGACACCAGAACCACTACATTAAGCTGCAGTGGTTCTGGGGACTATAGTGTTTCTTTAATGTGGGGTAAATTAGAGATTAGTGCCACGAATAATATACTAGATTGCCTACTTACAACCAGATGAGGATGGGCTCTAGCTGCAGTCTGGCTCCACTGGCCTGGTGTAGAACAGGCTCTCTGGAGGCGGTTTGTAACTGTGGTCACAAAAATCAATGTTCTGGGAGAACGGGAAGCAGCTCCATTTTTTGGGGGCCCTTTACACATCTCAAGGTCTGGGTCCCAGGGTCCGCCTTCATGTTCCACCAATGAGTTTTTTCACAGGGGGTGGAGTGTGGAGGGGGCCAGGGGGGAGGACATTAGGTCCCCCCCCTTATTCTAATTTAGGGCCCACACCCACCGCTCAGGGGTGGGGGTCAGGGGGGAGGACATTAGGTTTCCCCACTTATTCTAATTAAGGGGCCCCCACCCACCGCTCAGGGTGAGGGCGAGGACATTAGGTCCCCCCCTATTTCTAATTTAGGGCCCCCACCTGCCGCTCAGGGGTGGGGGCCAGTGGGGAGGACAATAGGTGCCCCCCTTATTCTAATTTAGGGCCCCCACCCGCCGCTCAGGGGTGGGGGCCAGGGGGTAGGACAATAGGTCCCCCCCTATTGGTATTTAGGGCCCCCACCCGCCGCTAGGGGTTGGGGCCAAGGGGGAGGACAATAGGTCCCCCCCCCTTTTTACTTTAGGGCCCCCACCCACTGCTCAGGTGTGGGGGCTGGGGGGGGAGGCAATAAGCCCCCTTTAGTTTAACAGCCCCCACTCGGGCTCGGGAGGACACTTTTTTTTTAGAACAGTGAGCTGCTCACTGTTTAATTGACATGACATAATTTTTACTTAGTATTAGTAAATTTGGCTGAAAGACCAATTTAGGTCTTTCAGCAGTTTGGTAGATAACCAATACCGTGGGAATTAAGGAGTTATCTACTAAGCGGCTGCAAGAGAAGTCCCGAATTTCAGAATGCTGAACCGAACCGAAAATTTTCCCCATGCACATGCCTAATGTCCGCCCACATTTTGCATATGATGTATTACTGCCTTTATAAGGGGCTTGCCGCCCCCTAAGTAAACATTCCTCAAAGCTTTCATTTAACTGATTCTGTTGTCAGTGTAATTTCTTTGGCGTGCATGCACTTATACTTTGAAATCTGGTCAGGGGCAGATATTCAAGCAAACACTTGGTTTGGTCTAAAACACTATTATACCATTCCTTGGTAAGAAGGCAGACTTAAAATGTATTTTACCAGTAGGTGTTCTTATGCATTGCACTGTGAAAGAGCTGGACTATGCCAGCAGGTAGACTAGCTTCCCACAACAATTATTACAGGTAATCTCTTAAATGCCCCTTGCTTCTTTTTTCTTTTTTGGGGAGGGGGTAGGGTGCCCTTGCTTTGGTGCTCCCCCCGAATCTACCTCTGCTAAATTTGTTATTGAGCTTAGTTCTAAGTGGCTTTATATGACATAATTGTGCAGAAGATATTCTTGGACAGCTAAAAATGAGTATAATCTTCAAATAAACCAAGCTGAAAAAAATTTAAACCAAACATCTATGTGCTAGCTCAGTGGTTCCCAAACTTTTTAGGTTTAACCGCGTCCTTAATATTTCAATATTTTTCCAGGGCGTCCCAAGTCAAAACAATTTTCTAGGTTGTATGTTTACAGCGCTGCAGCATATACTGGGCTGCAGTTCAGCAGAAATGCTTGCCGTTCAGGTGCAGATCCAGAACCTAATCTTGGGAGTGGCACTGGTAGAATTTTGTAAAGAAACAATCCACGCACAGTAACCACTACATTACATTGAAGTGGTTATGGTGCCATTAGTGCCCTCCCAGGGTAAGCAGTCAAACTGTTGAGAAAAATGAGAACAGTTTGACAACTTACCTAGGGTCTGCCGGGATAGGGGCTGTAGTGTGAGTGTGTGTAAGGGTTGCAGTGTGTGCATGAGGGTACAATGTGTGTGAGGGGAGGTTGTGTGCGGGGTACAGCGTGTGTGTGTGTGGGGATGGCAATGTGTGTGTGAGGGCTGCAGTGTGTTTGTGAAGGATGTAGTGTATGTGGGGAAGTTTGTGCCTGAGGGGTACAGTCAGTGTGTGTGTGTGTGTGTGTGTGTGTGAGGAATACAGTGTGTCTGTGTGGGTGCAGTGTGTGTATGTAGGGGCAGTGTGTGTGAATGAAGGGATAGTGTGTGTGAATAGGGGGGGCAGAGTGTGTGAATGGGGGATAGTCTGTGTGAAGGGTGGGATAGTCTGTGTATGGGGGGAGAGTTATTGCGTGGTGTGGGGAATGTGGGGGTAGGAGGGCAAATTCATAAAAATACACTTTTTCTTTTTTAAAAATAATAATTTAAAAATAAGTCCCCCCTCCCTGCTTACCTTTGCCTGGGAGGGGGGATAGTACTCATCTCGGGTGGTCCGTGGGGAAGCCCTGGTGGTTCAAGTGGTGAGAGTGAACTCTAGCAGCCTCAGTAGCTGCTAGAGTTCACTCTCGCGAGATTCGGAGTATTGCAAACTCGCAAGAGGAGAACCCATGCATGCTGCATGTTAGAGCTCCCCTGGGTCCTCACTCCCTCCCTTGCCGGCTGCCAGTATTATACTGCAAGCAGGCCGGAGTGGGAGATACCTGATACTGATACCTACTGCAGAGCTGGCAGGGGAGAGCACAATTCCCGGTGCTATGATCAAATGATCATTGCACCGGGGCAAGAACTTGTGGCTCCCCTGTGTGCCAGTTGCTGCACCTTGGCACACAGTTTGGGAACGACTGTGCTAGCTAACTGATTTCCTGTCAGGGTTATTCACTAAAATGTAAATTTTCTGCTTTTCAAAGTTAATTCAAAGTAAAGTGAACATTTATAGATTCAAACAAAGGACTGCAAACAACATTACATGAACCTTGTCATTTTTACTGAAACAGGAAGATGAGCATGCACATGTAAATTGTCAAGTGAAGAATTACATTTTTTGTAATGGTTAGAACTGGTTGAATTTTTTTTTAATTTAAAGGGACTTTACAACTAAAACATTAACGTTCTCATCTGGTGGTTAAGTCTTCATTTCTTCAAAGTATTCTTCTGCTACCTACAAAAGAGTGAATATTTTGATCCAGATAGAATATCTTGCCCGCCCACCTTGCCTCCAGAATTATCAGATGACAAGGTACAAAACCAGATGTGTTCTTTGTTGATTATTCTGTGCACCTTTTAAACCAGATTTACTAACAATCTTTCAGCACCAAAGTTGCTGTTTAGTAAATAAGTTAGTGCGCTGGATTTTCATTTTTATTGTACTTATTGGCACACAGCAGAACCCTATTTATAAAAAAAGTAGATTAGGATGGCACAATAATCATAATAAATTAAGGTGACTTTATACTTGCGTAACAACGATACGAATGCAGCAGCGTACTAGGAACCCTGATCATATAAATCCCCAGATGGTAAACCAAAAAAAGGGTAGGTGCGCAAACAGTTAAAAGATCAATTAGATAATATAGAATTACTTCCCAAGATGTCCAAACAATTAAGTGTGGGATAGCAATATTATTTTAAAACCATATGTGTGTTACAAACCACATAAAGTGACAATAGAACAAAAAAAATACTTGCAATTCCTTGAATGGCTATGTCACAGGTATCTATAAATACATTAAAAAAAATAAACCTAGTGCAATACAGTCTGTATACCAATCTTATTAAAGGACCACTACAGGCACCCAGGCCACTTCAGCTTAATGAAGTGGGCTGGGTGCCAGGTGATATGTTTATATTAGGGTTAATCCAGCCTCTAGTGGCTGTCTCAGACAGCCGCTAGAGGCGCTTCTCACTGTGAAAATCACAGTGAGAAGACGCCAGCATACATAGGAAAGCATTGTGAATGCTTTCCTATGAAACTGGCTGAATGTGCGTGCGGTTCTTGCCACACATGGGCATTCAGCCGAGGAGGAGGAGCTCCCCGTCCGGCGCTGGAGAAAGAGGTAAGTTTAACCCCTTCCTCACCCTAGAGCCCGGTGGGAGGGGGACCCTGAGGGTGGGGGCACCCTCAGGGCACTATAGTGCCAGGAAAACAAGGCACTATAGTGGTCCTTTAAGCACACTCGGTAGAGGTCTAACTCACAATTGTGAAGTGGTTCTAGTACCACTCCAAACTACCCAGCATAGGGAGGGTCAGACCCTTGAGGTCGTTGGATCCTATCCAAAATATTTTATTTTTCAATTGCAAGGTCAAAAAATAAAATTAAATGGAATGAAATCAACCCACAGCAGCAAATAGTTAAAAATCAATTTGGGGCATATCGCCCAAATTACTAAAAGAATTACATATGTTCAAAGCATACTAAAAAGTGAATATTCTCAATAAAAGATAAAAATACATGTAAAATCAGTGTATATACAACAGCACATTGATATCTGGAGGGGAGTTTTATTAGACCAGCTAAATCACATGAAATTAAATAGATCAAAATCTATATTGAGACCGGCCAGGGTTAAAGTATCCATATTGTACACCCATTTCATTTTTTCCCTGCTGATTTTTTTGATAAAATCTCCACCTCTCCAGTCTTTAAAAGCCTGTTTAATACCCAAGAATTGTAAGCCTTTAGGGTCTTGGTTGTGCACTCATCTAAAGTGATCCGAGACACTATGACTAATTACTCCCTTACGTATGTTATAAATGTGTTCCCGGATTCTTTTGTATAGTGGGCGTGTAGTTCTCCCAATATATTGTTTATTGCATGGGCATTGTAAAAAATATGACATTGCTATTGTGGCACGTGATATGTTCTTTAACCCTAGAACCCCATTTATGCATGTTTAGTGCAGCTAGCCCCTTGCTTTCTCAAACTAGAGTTGTGTGTGCTCAATAGTGGGATTTTATTTAGCTACAATATATATTTTTTTTTAATTGACCTTCCGTCAATACTATCCACACGATTAAAAACAAAAAAACAAAAACAAGTATTGTATAGCTGACATACTGCAAAATAAATAAATAATATTTTAGAGTCAAATTTGGAAAGACAATTTATTAATAGGGGTGAAGGATATTCTTGGAGACATTGGCATGGTCCTTCTTCAACAACTGAAGGCAGATTAAACTGGTGATATACCTTAAGGCATGAGAAGACAAAGATTAAAGTAACAAAACAAGGATTAAAAGTAGATCTATACCCACAAGAAAATATGTACATAATTTATTTTGCATATTTTTTTTTTGTGGGTATATAAAATCATAGCTTGCAATAGCTGCAGATCTAGTATTTACTGCAAACCCTTACATTTTTCCTCAACCAAGTTGTGTTACAGCTCACTGAGAAATCTTTGCAACGCAGGTAATCTGGGCAATTGCATGCAGGAGCCAAATTACCAGGAAGTAACAGGACCAGTTGTCTGATTCGAAATGGCCAATTATATAATGAAAGATAACAGGAAAAAAAGGTTCTCTTCACATATAAAACATTTCAGCAAGCTGGAGTGCTGCGTGTGTTTGGAGTGTTTCTTTAAGATAGTGATTTGAGGATAGAACTCTAAAAATTATCATGTATACACTGGTACTAGTTGTGTAGACCGAGATATGATTTCACAAAAACACATTTAAATAAAAATGTTTTATTCATATATACAAATAATTACTTTTCTACTTCTTTAGGTATTGGAACATTAGTTATTAATAATGAAGACTTTCTTGAATTTAATGCTTCTAATCCTCCCCAAAAAACAAACATAAAAAAACAAACAAACAAAAACCACTTTGGTTGTTATATTACAAGTTTCATTAAAATGAAAAACAGTCGGAAAATAAGTTTTACATATATTCCTTAAATTGCATGAATCATCACAAATGATGTGCTGCTCTGCTGCTAGAGATTAGTATTACATTTAAGGTACATAAGTGCAATCTATACATTTTGAACTTAACAAACATCAGAAACATTGGGTTCAACACCATACACCTCTTTGTTTATTTGTATAAGTAAATCCAAGGGCACATGTGGTTTATCATACCCGTACGAACTTGATATTTGCTTTGTATCTGAGCTGTGTTTCTCCACCTCATTACTTTCACATAATCCTGTGTCCATACTGATGCCACTGTCTTTACTGTAATTGTCTGTGTTAAAGTGTTTGCTATCCCCATGGTTGCTAGTTGTGTCAGGCTCCACAACAATTTCATTTTGGTCATTATCAGATTGCTGCTGTCCTACATCTGCAACTGCTCTTTGATATTCTGTGTCCTCACATTCTTGGGAGACAGTTGTAGACAATTCATCTGTCTGGGAGATCTGGTCTTCCTCCATAAGTTTATCATGTATTTGTTCTTTGATTGGAGATATTGAAACTTGGCTATATTTCGATTTGTCAGCTATCAGAGAAATAGGTGGCTTTATGTTCGTTACAACATAACTCTGTAGTGTAAAAAAAGAAATTAGAGGATATGATAATTCTGCAAAGTAATTGTATAAAATAAAAAAAATATAGATTTAAAAACATAAATGCAAAATTAAATCCATGTTCTTGTTACATACAGTACAATATTGAAAATATAAAGTGAAATCCTTTACAAATATGTTACATTCTGGGCATATCTCTGCCAACACAATGCAAGAAAAATGGGTCTGTTAAAGGATCTGTTTCACCCTACTCGAAGTAGCAGTAGTTACGGTTTACACTCCAGTACTGAACCCTTTCTAGGACCTAACAATTGATGGAATAGACCAGGGCCAATCCCAGGGTCACTGACACATAGTTACATAGCTGAAAAGAGACTTGCGTCCATCAAGTTCATCCTTCCTCACATATGTTTTTGCTGTTGATCCAAAAGAAGGCATAAAAACCTAGTCTGAAGCGCTTCCAATTTTGCAACAAACTAGGAAAAAATTCCTTCTTGACCCCAAAATAGCAGTCAGATGTCTCCTTGGATCAAGCAGCTATTACCCCACTAATTAGAAATTATATCCCCCATGGTGGATATATGGGTGGATATATCGCTAACTCCAACTTCACCAGGTAACATGTCACCCGATTGCTATAGTGCCCTTCCCCCAAAGCGTCATCTGTATCCCCATACAGCTTCTCAGTGCCATATTTATCCCAAAATAGTTAATCAGTATTTTTTATGCTTTAAATTAGTTAATCAGGGCCAGTTTCCGAGACCCGGCTATAGTGGGGGTGTGGACCAGCTATAGTGGAGGGAGGAAGGAGGGGAGCAGCTAAAGTGGGGGAAGGGTGGACCGGGCTATAGTTGGGGTGGAGGGTGGACCGGGCTATAGTGGGTGTGGGGAGGGACGGAGGGCTCTAGTGGGGGGGACGGAGGGCTCTAGTGAGGGGGGAAGGGGCAGTAGTAGGAAGGTTAGTGGCAGTGGAGGGAATGTGCAGTAGTTGAGGGGTTAGGAAATGTAGTTGGGGAACATAGACTGTAGTGGGAGGGTAGGGGCAGAAGTGGGGCGATGGCTGCAGTTGAGGAAAAAGGCTGCAGTGTGGGAGATATGGGCTGCAATTGGGGGAGAGGCACTGTAGTTGGTATGATAGGGACTGTAGTAAGGGAGGGTGTAGTAAAGGGGGTAAAGTGCTGTGGTGGGGAAATGTGGGGGAAAAGAGGTAACAGGAGATAAGGGGTGTAGTGGGAGGATAGGCGTTGTAGTGGATGTGGGGTGTAGGGATTGTAGGAGGAATAAAGACTGTAGTGTTAGGTGCTGCAGTGGGAGTAAGATACTGCAGCAGCGGGTTGGAGGCTGTAGTAGGGATGGGGCTGCTGTTTGATTAGAAGGGCTATAGTATGGGAGTTAGGGGCTTTAGTAGGAGGGAAGGGACTGTAGTGGGGGTTGAAGCTGCAGTAGGAAAAAGGGACTGTAGCAGGGGGTTGGAGGCTGTAGTAGGGATAGGGGCTTCAGTGGCTGCTGCTTGGTTAAAAGGGTTGTAGTAGTTGTATAGTGCCTGTTGTAGTGGGGCATATGTGCCGCAATTAGGGGACTAGTGTCTGTTGTACGGAGTAAGGATGGGAACTCGGGGGTTAGGGTCTATAGTAGGCCATATAGGCTACAATTGAGTTGTAGTAGGGTATAGGTGCTGGGTTGATAGGAGCTATAGTAGGGTATAGGCACTACAACTGGAAGCTTTGGGGCTGTAGTAAGGAGTAAAGGGCTGCAATGGGCACAGGGGTTATAGTTTGGGGGATTATGGGGCTGTAATAGGTGGTTAGGGGCTTTAGTAGGATATAAGGGCTGCAATAAGGGGGATAGAGGTTGAAGAAAGAAAAAAAAAAAAACCCCACAAGCTTATTTCACCCACCCTGAGGCTTATCTTAGGCCAGGGAGGGGGAAATCCTGATCCTTGGTGGGCCCTGTCACCAAGTGTGATAGGTGGAGCCCAACACAAAGGGTGGTGTCTTGTGCTGCACCTCTACCTACCGGCTCTGGAACACACCAAAACGTCAAGGTATACACTTTATTTATTTTATAATTAAACCACCAATTTCAGGATTGTTTAAAATCTTTAGAGGGAATTATATCTATTATATATTGAGGATAAATGGAAACTATTCAAACAAATATTAGAAAGGTACATTTCTCATTATGTACCATTGGGTAATAAATACAAAAGAAACTAATTAAAACCAATGTGGCTTAGCAGAGAAGTAGAACAAGAGATTAAAAATAATAAAAGGGCATTTAACGCATTTAAATCTGACAAATCAGAGGCACCCTATATAAGATATAAGGAAGCCAATAACGCTTGCAAAAAGGCAAATAAAGTGGCTAAACTAGAAAATGAGAAATTGATAGCCAAAGATTGGAGGAAGGCAGATGTTGTTCCTATATTTAAAAAGGGTTCGAAATTCTTGCCTGGAAATTATAGACCTGTAAGCTTAACTTCTGTAACTGGGAAAATATTTGAAGGGCTATTAAGTGATAATATTCAGGAATTCTAGATGAATATTCTTGTTCTTAGGTAGAACATTGGCTTAAGGATAATACGAGTTGTCATTAATGGTAAATTTTCAGGCTGGACAAAAGTGGTAAGTGGTGTCCCTCAATGTTTTTTTTTGGGACCGCTTCTATTTAACATATTTATAAATGATCTTGAAAACTGCATTGAAAGCCATGTATCAGTGCTTGCAGATGACACAAAACTTTGTAAAGTAATAAAATGTGAGCAGGATATTGCTTTACTTCAGAGGGATTTGGATCGATTAGGGGACTGGGCACTAAAATGGCAGATGCAATTTAATGTAGAAAAATGCAAAGTGAAATGTCAAATGGAGTAAACAAGCCATTGTTATTAGACTAACAGACTGATAAAGAGCTATAGATAGATTTAAAGGGGCAGTATCGGCACCAAGACCAGTTCATATCATTGACGTGGCATGGGTGAGGTGTCCCTGTCGTTTTAGCCTTGCAGCTGCAAATATTGCAGTTTCAGAGAAACTGAAATGTTTACATTGCAGGGTTAAGTCTGCCTTCAGCGGCTGTCTACCAGATGAGATGCTTTTAATGCGTTTGACTCAGTGAAAAGACCCTGGACGTTTAAAGCGCTGCAAAGCATACTGCTGCTTTACAAATGATAATAGAAGAAAGACAGACAGATAATACATGACAAAATGTGTATTGTAAAATAATAATGCAATCTCAGGGTTCTGGAGACATCAAAATAATTACAATGTTTATTGTGGGGGCTTTATTTTCCCAAAATACACACATAACATTGTCTATCTTTTATACTACATGATAGCTTAAGACTGGGGTTGCACCAAAAATATATATATGTCTAGGTGGAATATTATATAAAAACAATGCTTGGATATTGTATTATGTTAACATATTCCACAGCTACTGATTTTAATAGAGCTTGGGAGAGAGCTGAATTAAAATAAAGGCAAATGGTGCTCAGTAGCACAATGTCCATTAATTTCTGGCATAAATGTTTCATTGAAATACAATTATACCTCATAAATTAGAAGCATTCCAACTTACCAGTGACTGGGGAAGTATGTTCTCCTTTTTTATTACTTTTACGATGTAAAAAATGCAACCAATCACAAGCAGTAAAGAAAAAAATACTGTTAATGCTGTTATTAGGGTGATCTTGTTCTGTAAATCTAAACAAGAAAAGGCATTCACAATCAGAACATTCACTATTACGGTAGAAAATTTACCAAGTAAAATAGCAGCTTTCTACAAAATGGTTTGAGATTAATAGTAAAAAAAAAATTAGATTAAGATTTTTTTACATTTTAATATTTAAATTTAAAAAATGTAACAATTAGTAGGTGTGTTATATGAAGAACACCTTATGTTAACCTCTGTGTTTGGCCTTCAGCAGTGCAATAACACTCTTTTTTGATGTCTTTACATGCCCCCCTTACTTCTCTAGAATACTGTATGTAGATCACTTAAAGCGGCACTGTCATGCCGAACTTGCCTTTCCTCAATCTCTTCCTCTTCTCCCCCTCTCTCAGGATCTGTTCTTCTTTTCTTCCTGTCTTCTTTAGTTTTCTTTAAAATCATAAGACAAAGTAGGGACTCTTTGCCTTATGGAGGATTCCTCCGCTTGACCAGCTCTGACCAGCGGAGGAGCAAAGTGTGCTTCATTTCCGCTGGTCAGAGCAATTTTCCCATGATCCCTAGCTTTCCTCTGTGATCTCGCGATGCTTCCTGTCATTTTAGCTAAAACTGCCGAATTGCGTTCTAACTGAATGAGAACAGTATGTTCGTTTCTATTAGAACGCAATTCGGCACTTTATTCGGATCGGAATTTCATTCGAATGAATGAAACTCTGATCCTATTCATTGCCGCGGCTGCATCTTGCAGCCGCTTAGTAGATTACTCCCTAATTCCCACGGTATCAGGGAGTTATCTACTAAAAGGCTGAAAGACCTAAATTGGTCTTTCAGCCAAATTTACTAATACTAAGTAAAGATTACTTAGTATTAGTAAATAATATGCCCCTATTCGCTATATCGCGAGTAGGGGCATATGTAGTAAGCAGTGAGCAGCTTATAGCTGCTCACTGTAAAAAAAAAATAAAAAAAAAACAACAAAAAAAACCCCACTAATAACCCCCCCCCGCCCTACCTACTGTCCCCCCCTTGCTCGGTGGGTGGGGGCCCGAAATAAAGATAGGGGGGACCTGCGCGAGGGGGGAATAAAATAACTAACCTGTAAAAAAAATTAAACTTACCATTTGACGTCTTCTTTTTTCTAAAATCTTCTTTCTTCAGCCCCCAAAAGTCAAATAAAAATCCATCATACCCGTCGCACTTTAAAGCGCCAAAAAAAAAATGTAATCCATGTTCGCCCTTCGAGGGCACGCCGCGTACTGAGCTCCGCAGGGCGGGTCAAGGCTTATAAAGGTTTAAGCCAATCAGAGTGTTATGAGTCATTTTACAAAGCGCTGTAACACAGAGCACTCTGATTGGGTGAATTAAGTAACCAATCAGAGTGTTCTAAGCCTAATTGCGGAGCTCAGTACGCGGCGTGCCCTCGAAGGGCGAACATGGATTAATTTTTTTTTGCGCTCGTTTTTTTTTTTTTTTTAAAGTGCGACGGGTATGATGGATTTTTATTTGGCCTTTTTGGTGGCTGAAGAAAGAAGATTTTAGAAAAAAGAAGACGTCAAATGGTAAGTTTAATTTTTTTTTTACAGGTTAGTTATTTTATTCCCCCCTCACTATTTTTAGGGTGAGGGGGGTAGGTAGGGGATAGGTTTTTTTGGGTGGGGGGGGTGACTAGGGGCTTGGGACCCCTAGTCACCTTGATTGGGGGGTGGAGGGGTGTTTCATTTAGGGCCCCCACCCACCGCTCAGGGGTGGGGGCCAGGGGGGAGGACAGCAGGTCCCCCACCCACCACTCAGGGGTGGGGGCCAGGGGGGAGGACAGTAGGTCTCCCCCCTTATTGTTTTATTAGGGCCCCCACCCACTGCGCAGGGGTGGGGGCCAGGGGGGGGAGGACAGTAGGTCCCCCCCTTATTGTTTTATAAGGGCCCCACCCACCGCGCAGGGGTGGGGGCCGGGGGGAGGACAGTAGGTCCCCCCCCCCCCTCATTATCTTCATGGCCCCCACCCACCACTCAGGGTGGGGGAGGGGTGGAGGACAATAGATCCGCCCCCCCTTATTGTAATTTATGTAATTTTTTTTCAACAGTGAGCAGCCACAGGCTGCTCACTGTTTAGTAGACATGCCCCTACTCGCGGTATAGCTAGTAGGAGCATTTGGGAGATTTTAATCTCCCTTGTGCTATTATGGGGGTCATATTGACCCCCATAGAGTGAGAGGGGGACCTGGGGGGGCTTATGAAGTGGCGGGGAGCACTGCTCCCTGCCGCTTCTATCTTTACATATTACAAGGAGGGAGCTGCGTGCCGGTAGCTCCCTCCTTGTAATAAACTGAACGAACAAACTAACACTGATACACAGTGTTAGTTTGTTCGTCTGACATTTCTATTCAGTCATTCGTCTGTCTGATGAATGAATGAATGAATAGATGAAATTCCCGTTCGCATGTCCAGGTGTTTCACTGGGCATGTGCGGGAATCTCACAGTCTGTCTAGTGTGGGCAGATGACGTGTCCCTGAGGGACTTCACCTACCCACACAAAGATGGCGGCGCCCTGAATATAGATCGGGGCAGAAAATAAAGATTTAAAAAGAGGTAATCTGGGGGGCTTAGGGGTATTTGGGGATGACTAGTGGGTCAATTGGATGTAGTGGAGGCGGGAGGGGGGTTAAAAAAAAAAAAAAAACGGGATTCGGCATGACAGTGCCGCTTTAATAAACCAGATAACCTTATTGATTCCTATAATCTCCCATTCTCCAGACAACACTTTTACCTAGCATATTAGAGATGAATCCAGTACTTTGTTCTATTTGCATCAACAGCTTGCTGTTCTTGTAACCTGCCATTTTATGTAAATTACTAAAGTCATGCAAATAATGGAAAGATGGAAGCAGCTACCAACCACAAGTGCAGAGGTGCTGGGTTTGCACTTAGCACTTCTGCACTCAACAGTGCTATCCGCGTTTACCAAGATGAACTGGAGCAAGAGTATTATAAAGATTAAAAAAGAACCATCAAAATGTTGGTATTTGCCTCTGGAACTGCCACAAATATCCAATATGTACCCGAAAAACAAAACAAAAAAAAACCACTCTACACTCTGGAATTATCCAACTCATGTATCCAGTTTTGAATTTTAACCCAACTTATAGATATTGATTGCCTACATCAGCTCAGACTCTTTCTCAAATATGGTGAGAGTATGTACAGGCAGAGGAGGAAGCGTATCCAGAATGATGCCACCTAAAATACATTTATTGGTGTAAAACATGTAGTCATAAAGAGGCACTATAGGCACCAAAAAAACGTTAGCATACTAAAACAGTTGGGGTGTACAGATCATGACCCTGCAGTCTCACTGCCATTTAGAAGTTAAATCACTTTGTTTATGCAACCCTAGTCACACTTCCCTGCATGTGACTTACACAGCCTCCCTAAACACTTCCTGTAAAAAGACATTTAAAGTATAAATTTCCTTTTCTGCACATTATATTTAAAGGAACACTATAAGGTCAGGAACGCAAACATGTATTACTGACCCTATAGTGTTAAAACCACCATCTAGCACCCCTTGGCCCCCCATGCCTCCATAAATATAGCAATATCTTACTGTATTCAAGCCTGAAGCTGTAGATCTGCATGCTGTTTACCTCAGAAAAACAAGCTGTCTGCTGACATCATCAGAAGTGGTGGCCTGATCCAATCACATTACTTCTCTATAGGATTGGCTGAGACTGACAAGGAGGCAGATCAGGGGCAGAGCCAGCACAATTCAAACACAGTCCTGGCCAATTAGCATCTCCTCATAGAGATGAATTGAATCAATGAATCTCTATGAGGAAAGGTCAGTGTCTGCATGCAGAGGGAGGAGACACTGAAGGTTTGGATACATTTTAGGCAGCCATGACCCAGGAAGGATCTCGAACGGCCATCTGAGGAGTGGCCAGTGAAGTTATCACTAGGCTGTAATGTAAACACTGCGTTTTCTCTGAAAAGATATTGTTTACAGCAAAAAGCCTGAAGGTAATGATTCTACTCACCAGAACAAATTCAATAAGCTGTAGTTGTTCTGGTGACTATAGTGTCCCTTTAATTTATAATTTCTTACCTCCTGCTCTGTTAATAGCTCTCTGGACCCCACAGGAGTCTCCTGTTTGTGATTAAAGTTCAATTTACAGAGTAGGAGATACAAACTTCTTAAGTAATATCTGATTGAAAAAAGAAATAAAAAATCATGAAGGCTGTGTCAGTCATGGCCAGGACATATGTGGCGAGGGCTGCATGGACAGAAACAAAGGTAAATTAAATCCTAAATGCCAGAGAACTGAGCAGAGAAACTGCACCATAAGTTAAAGTTGTTTTGATACCTGTAGTGTCTCTTTAAGCATTACATCCCTGCTGGAACTTTATCAAAAACAAGTGTGGTCAAAGAACAGTGGTTTTTTTTCTTCTTAAATCTGTATTAAAAAAATACAGTTACATTTTCAACAAGTGCTATTGTTTTTTTATTCACCTTACCACTTTTTTATTCCTCATGAAGGACATTCCCTCCCCAAAAAACTCGAAACAACTTACTTTCTCTTTTATCCATGTCATGTATATGTATACAGATCTCCTTCGATTTCTCAGAAAATACAGCCCAGTAATTTGAATGGCCTCGAGCCACGAGACAGACATCTTCTGATTTTGCAGGAGGCACAATTTCAGCAATACAACCCAGATTATCGCAATCACTCGCCACAAACTGAAATAAGAGAAGGATTAATGCACTTTATGGATAAAGGTTAGAGATGTGTATTAGGGCAGATGCATTAATATTTTGATTCCTAATTCTGGTCAAAAAAACACTAATTAATCCTTGGTGGTCTAGCATTGAATGAGTGGAAATCTGTATCTTTGCTACTTTCTACATTGCTTGGATATTGCATTGGTGTACTGCTAAACAGGACAAGGGGTACAGAGCACAGGAAATATAGGAGTCACATTTCTCCCTGCTGCTATAATAGTAAAGATGCATTTCATTAGAACAGGTAGGCAACTACATTCTCCATGCAATTGTCCAATCGGAGTGAGATTAGTAATAAAAACATTAACACCTTAAGAAGATTAATTGTAGTTGTATGTCGTATTATCCTCCGGTTTTGATTATAATTTTTTTGCATGTCTCTCTCTCTCTCTCTCTCTCTCTATATAGAATCAAAAATGTTGAGAGAGATGCACTAGTTCATTGGAGATAAAGGCAATTGAGGCAATAGAGGCAGGCAATTGCACCTTTCTTGGAAAGACTTTTGCTGCATTGGGCCAGGGAAGAAGGTTTTTAGATATACCCACAAATAAAAATATACATAATTAAATGGATACATGTTTTCATTGGGGGATATCTACTAAATTGTTGGTAAAAAAAAATGGTTTTCCTTTTTCAATTGGGTTCCTTTATGTATATAAATTTTGTTACAAAATTACTTCATTGCATTAACGTTTTGGTCATGCACCAGGTCCTTTATCAAGATGAAACACTTCTAAACAATACCCACTTATGAAAAGCGAAATCAATCATAAGTAAGGTAAGGACCTACGTAAAATAAAAACACATGCGCATATTATGAGATCTTAACCAAAAACACCCAGCTTGGAACTCAAACAAATCCTACACCTAACAAGGTCAGCCAACACAATGTTGCAAGATATCACACACTATAATGTGAGGCAACAGAGTGTGAAGTATCCAAATGTATAAATCAAAAAACAAGAGAAGGGTGCGCCTTTAATGTAGATATTGTGTACAAGTAAAATAGTATGGTCCAAATAACTTAACACTAGTCCAAAGTAGTAAAGTCCACAGTGGTAGGGAAAATTCTTGCAGAGCAGCAGTGATTCGTCACGGGTGCAGAAAACGAAAATCCAATGGTGCAGTAAGTAAATATACTTGGATATTAAAAATTATGAGTAGGTACTACTCACAATTTTCAGAGCTAAAATCCAGCTCTGGTATGAAATGCGTGAAGTAGAATGATCCCCACTTTCCAACCGAAAGTAAAAAGAATAAAATATATAGTGCTCACTGTATCTTACTGTAGTAGAGGAATAAAAAGTATGAAAGGTACTCTCAGTGTGTTGAGCTCACTGCTCGATTTAAAGCGTCATTACAGCTTTAATGAAAAGATACATATTGAAAATAAACAATAATATTACAGACCATATTTGGATACACTAAGGGGGATATTTGTACACATAAATATTAAAAACGAGGTGCTGGTATATTAAAAATGATATAGAATGAAAATCAATGACAATATAGAATTTAATAACATCTGGGATTGAGCCTCAAAGTCCTGAGTAAGAGAGCAATTCCTTCTAAGGAATTGCTCTCTCACTCAGGACTTTGAGGCTCAATCCCAGATGTTATTAAATAAATTCTCCAAAAAATACTACCCTATGAACAATATGAACCAAACAATAAAAAATATCAGTGAAAAAGACCGATCGGATCTCTTAGACTTAGAGTATAGAGATAACAAAACCTCCAAAAATGCCCCATCATTGCCAATCATCGTCGACTTCAATAACAAAAGTAATGTTATGAAGAAGATTATCAATAAACATTGGCATATATTAAAACAGGATGAGACTCTAGCTGGCATTATTCCCAACAAACCACACGTTATATTTAGAGGGGCACCCAGCTTTAACTCCATCATCACAAAAAACTATACTAAACAAAGCTATACTACCTCTTCCTCTTGCCCCTCCCCTCTTTCCTAATTAAGCCAAAAGGTTTTTTTAAATTTAATAAATGTGTAGTGTGCAAACGTATGGATGATACTATTGAATTAAAAAACACTTCTTTTAAATCATCTATCACACAGAGAATATATCCTATAAACATTTTTATTCACTGCAATACAAAGAATGTAATTTACTTAATAGAATGCCCAGGTGAGCTTCAATACGTGGGCATGACCACTAGGAACCGAAAAAACTGATTGGCAGAACACTGCCGGAACATTTTAAAAGGTTATGATTACCATTCAGTATCAAAGCACTACATGGAAAAAAACCACAAATTTGGCAAGTGCATAGGTATAGATACCTGTAGTGTACCTTGGAGAGGCGATAATATGAAAAAGATTTTAGGTAGTAAAGAAATGGAATGGGCATTTAATCTAAAGACTCTTTCCCCACAGGGTCTAAATATATTTTATTTGCCTATTTTTTACTAGTCTTCCCTATCTCATTTTATTCTTTTTTTAAATTTATTTATATATGTTTTTTACCTTCCTAATATTTTATGCATAAGTCATACAAGTTGTTTACTTTCCCATAGCCTTATACCAAAGAAATGCCTTCCTTTGTTCTGTTTTTTACTTTAATTTTATATTTATTTATATTTTTATATTTGTTTATTTTTATTATTTTATTTAGTATTTTATCATTTTTTTTCTTAATATGTTTGTAATATTTATGAATACTCTGGTGTATTTATTTGGATAATATTTGCCTAATGGAAAGTTTTTTTTACAAGATATGATTTTAAGTGTATATATTTGGTTCATGAAATGTCTCTTTATTTCATTTTTCAATATGACAATAAGTGATTCTTATTCATTAGCAAAACAATCTTTGTTGGTTTGGAGTCTAGCCCTTTATTGTATTGTAAGTCAATATGAATCACGGGTCTTCCAAATGAAAAAAGTATCGTCGATATACCTGCGATAGAGGACCAGACCCGCTCCTTTTTTCATTTGGAAGGGTACTAGAATTTATTTGGATCTTTTTTAAGAGGGTCTCAATGGCAATCGGAGAAATATCGTCTTAACTAGTCAAATTAGCCAAACGTCGGTCCAGTTTTTGGACCTGGAGATTTATGTTTCCAATAATCATATTCTCACAAGAACTTTTTTCAAACCGGTGGATGTCAATGGGTACATCGACACCACGAGTTGTCAATACGACCCGTGGTTGCGTAATGTACCCAAAAGCCAATTTAACCGCATTTTAAAATATTGTAGTGACATCAAAGAATACGAAAAACAGGCATGGCGCCTTAAAAGCTTTTGTGGAAAAGAAATATGACCCGACTATTTTAGATCATCAGATTCAGGAGACTAAGTCACTAAATAGAGAATCTTTACTAAAATATAAAGATAAACAAGTAACTAAACGGACAAAGGAACCCCTTTTGATTTTGGACTATAGTGGCGATGCTAGCCACATTAAATCAATTATTAACAAATATTGGCATATTTTGAGAACTGATGAAGGTCTTAATGATATCATCTGTAAAAAGCCAAAAATTGTATATAGAGGTACAAAATATCTTCAAACCCTATTAGTCAAAAATCATATAACACCAAAGTTTTCAACCAGAAATCTGGTTTCTATCCGTGTAAAATGTGCACAGTCTGTAAAAGGACAAAATTTAAAAAAGATACCTACACCAAATTTATTTCCAACACATCACAAAAAGAATATAAAATCAATTCTATCCTCATATGTCACGCCAGCAATGTAATATATCTCCTTTGGTGCCCTTGTGGATTACAATACGTGGGAATGACCACAAGGACTTTAAAAACTCGCATGATGGAGCATTTGGGCAATATACAGAGAGGATATGCTAAACACAGTGTCTCTGCACATTTTTCACAATATCATATCATAACAGTGATCCTTCCTACGTCAGTTTTATTGCTATTGCCCAAAAGAAAAAGGATTGGAGGGGTGAAGATAACTTTAAAGAACTTTGCAAATTTGAAAGCAGGTGGATTTTTGAGTTGAATACGCTATCCCCCAAAGGTCTAAATTTAGATTTTGAGTTGGCTCATTTTTTATAGCCATTACACATGTTTATATTTATATTATATATTTTTATTTAATGTTTATTTTTATTTATATTTATATATTTATTTTTATCTTTGTTTATTTTAAATTTTATTTTATTTTTTACTTTTACTTTTATTTTCATTTTTATTTATTTATTTTTATTTTAAATTTTTTTATTTTATATTAATTCTTTACTTTTATTATTTTTATTTACTTTTATTTTACTTTATTTTTATTTCTATTATTACTATTTTTACTTTTACTGATCTTGGACCAACCAATCCTATTCATATGGGCTGGATCTATATGTCATTTATGTGATAAAAATTTGTATTACATTGTACAATACTTTCTTATTCTCCCTTTGTAAGAGATCTCCACAGGTATTATTCGCATTATTTATACACACAATTGTGTGATATTATTGTTTAATTTGTATATACATGCATTTTACAAGTCCTAATAGATGCCCACTTACAAAATGGAAGCTTTTGCTTCAATTGGGCAAACAACTTGAAGTGAATCAAGCCGATGCAATGAGCGCCGGAAAACCGGAAGTGACATCAGACGCCGGCAAGCCGAACTTCCGCCCACGTGATCGGCAACCACAGAAGCGGCGGATTTAAAAGAAAAAGCAGCTAGATTAATTCCTATGCACTGAAGAAAACTCGGACTGAGTTGAAACGCGTCTGCATTATTGTAACTGTGTATTACTATATGAGATCTACACAGTTGTTTTTATATTTTTATTTACAATAAAATTGTTCATCTTTTATCATCATCGCTGCTTCTTCTGATTCTGGGGGACATCGCCTGAGATTCTCCGTTTAGCCTATTGAGGCACCTTTGGGCACTATATACAGAGCCTGGTACGGCTCTGAAATCCGTGAGTGGATTAAATTATTTTTATTTCTCTATTTATATATACAGTCTATACTATGTACTGTTTTTTGTTGTTATAGGATTCTACCACATGGAATATCTCCAATATATACTTGTATATGTATAAGTATTATATTTATTTATTGTTATCTGGTACACAGAGAGTGGTGTGTGGATTTGGCATCTGATTATTCAGTGCCCTCATTTTATACTTTGTTTTTGAGGTGTTGGGGAACACTTTTACAATTTCACCACTGTTCTGTGCCTATTTTATTTTATTGTGTAAGCGCCATTCACTCTTCTTTTTCTATTTATAATTTTTAATATACCAGCACCTCGTTTTTAATATTTATGTGTACAAATATCCCCCTTAGTGTAACCAAATATGGTCTGTAATATTATTGTTTATTTTGAATATGTTTCTTTTCATTAAAGCTGTAATGACGTCATTTTGGCAGGAACATCTAAATTTTAATATAATCAATGTACCCTATATAAGGCTATGTATGTCAGGTTCATGTTTTTACTATTTTCTACATGAAGAAGTATGTTGTAGGTGAAACGCGTCTAGAAATAGTTTTTATTCTGTTATAATAAAGGAATTTTGGCTCTAAATACTTTGGTTGCCACATTCCTTTCCTATTTTAATCTATTTTATTCCTTTATTTGTATTATTTTACTTTTAACATGACTACATTGATTTTTACCATCCAAAGAGAAGCTCAAAGAATCCTTAGGTGTGGATTGTACCACCCATACGCTATACATCGAGCAGTGAGCCTGCTCAACATACTGTGAGTACATTTCATACTTTTTATTCCTCTACTACAGTAAGATACAGCGAGCACTATATATTTTATTCTTTTTACTTTCGGTTGGAATCATACCGCCGCTGGACTACCGTATTTCGAGTTACACTCCATATATCGTTGAGTGGGGATCATTCCACTTCACGCATTTCATACCAGAGCTGGATTTTAGCTCTGGAAATTGTGAGTAGTACCTACTTATAATTTTTAATATCCAAGTATATTTACTTACTGCACCATTGGATTTTCATTTTTCTGCTTCTTTTCCATATGTTCCACTGAAATTACAAGTCTGCACCCGTGACAAATCACTGCTGCTCTGCAAGAATTTTCCCTACCACTGTGGACATTACTACTTTGGACTAGTGTTATGTTATTTGGACCTTACTATTTTACTTGTACACAATATCTACATTAAAGGTGCACCCTTCTCTTGTTTTTTGTTCTATTTCTACTTATCTATAGGGGATTAGAGGGAACCCCCTTTTCTGTAGGTGTGCTGCCTGTACAATATACATATTCCTACATTTTGTGGCACTTTAACGCTGATCCTACCTTGACCTTTTTTATCCAAATGTATAAAGTATACAGTGAACCAACCAAGGTAAAGATGATACAGGTATGACCTACACCAAAACGTGCTCCCGATAAAAACAAATAATGAAAACAATAGATTGGGGGGGGGGGAGGATAATTTTATATCACCCACCAATAATATACATTGCTTAAAAGACAACTACAAGCACCAAGAGAACTTTATCTCAAGTGGTCTAGGGGTAGTAGATATGCAGTTTTGGAGATACGTTTATTTCATTGCATGGCTAAAGCATATGGACAGCCAGTAGGTAGTGCTTCCACTTCCAGAAGAGAGTCTGACTCTGTTCTTGACTTTCAAAGTCTTTACACATTGGACAAAATGGTCATGAAGCCCTCAGCGCAAATGGACTGGGATACAGAAGAAGGCCAAAGAATGCTGGTAAGTAGTAGTTTAATTTTTAATGAAAAATGGGGGTTCCTGAAATCTAAATAGTCCAACACAAAGGGATAAAAGTTAAATAAAAAACGGAAACAAAAACCTTCATACTGTTCCTTTAAAATAGGTATCTTAAAATTAACCCCTTAGTTGTTACTAACTAAACTAAAATTGGCATAATCCTTCACCATCTACAGCATTCAAAAAAATGTGGGAGTCGAAAGCTATTAAATTATGGATGTCCAGAGTTTGAGATACCTGTCTTAAACAGTACAAATAACTCAAGGGAACAAAATAAAAATATCAAGGGAAAGCCATCTGAAACCCAGCACAGAGTGGATAGGGGAAATCAGTTATAATACATTTGCTCCACACTTCACCACGCTATTTGTAACTTACCTCAGATGTATTATTCCCGGTTATATTCACTATATATTCAAAATCGTCATAAATGTCTCCTATGGTCATTGGTCCTTGCTCTGTTGTTGGTACAAGAGGATGCCAAATCTCCAAACCAATTTTATTATCTACCAGCGTAGCATTCAGTGTAGGTGGGCCAATAATGCCTAGAAACAACAAAAAAAGGATAATTAGGTTTTTGTTATAATTAAAAAACATAGGGTGGTCTCTTTTCGAAACCTAATTTTAGCTACCAAACTGGAGAGAACATCGTAGTCCAAGTATACATAACTCTGGGCACCAGAAAGCTCCTTAACCCCTTAAGGACCAAACTTCTGGAAAAAAAGGGAATCATGACATGTCACACATGTCATGTGTCCTTAAGAGGTTAAACACGGAAGAGAGAAAATGTCTAGACTCATGAAGCAGAAAAATACCCTCAGGTGGCAGCAACTGTCAACTAACATATTATACCTGTAAATTAAAGGGTTACTCCAATTATCATAACCAATACAGGACACCAGTAATGGGGCAAACCTGTTTACAAAGGTCCTGCAGGCCCTTGGTCTCCTGTGAAACATAGAAACACAGAATGTGAAGGCAGATAAAAACCATTCGGCCCATCTAGTCTGCCCAATTTTCCAAATACTTTTAATAGTCTCTGGCCTTATCTTATTGCTAGGATAGCCTTATGCATAATCCACGCATGCTTAAACTCCTTCACTGTGTTAACCTCTACCACTTCAGCTGGAAGGCTATTCCATGCATCCACTATCCTCTCAGTAAAGTAATACTTCCTGATATTATTTTTAAACCTTTGGACACAATAGTCACCAAAACAACTTTAGCTTAATGAAGCAGTTTTGGTGTATAGCTCATGCCCCTGCAGTCTCACTGCTCAATTCTCTGCTACTGAGGAGTTAAATAACTTTGTTTATGAACCCAAGTCACACCTCCCTGCATGTGACTTGCACAGCCTCCCTAAACACTTCCTGTAAAGAGTCATCTACAGTTTATCCTTTCTTTATGGCAAGTTATGTTTAATTTAGATTTTCTTATCCCCTGCTATGTTAAGAGTTTGCAAGGCCCTGCAAGAGCCTCCTGTATGTGATTAAAGTTCAGCTTACACAGAAAGAGATACAATTGTTTAAGGTAAATTACATCTAAATGAAAGTGAAACCAGTTTTTTTTTATCATGCAGACTGTGTCAATCAGAGTCAGGGGAGGTGTGACAAGGGCTGCATAAACAGAAAAAAAAGTGATTTGGAAATGGCAGCAAATTGAGCAGAGAAACCCGAGAAGCATGATCTACACACTAAAACTGCTTAATTAAGCTAAAGTTGTTTAGGTGACTTTAGGTTTTCCTTTAAGACTATGTCCTCTTGTTGTGGTAGTTTTTCCTTCTTCAAAGTCTCCTCCTTTACTGTGTTGAATACCTTTACTTATTTAAATGTTTCTATCATATCCCCCACCTCCCCTCCAAGCTATACATGTTATGATCCTTTAACCTTACCTTGTATGTTTTATCCTGTGATCCATGAACTAGTTTAGTAGCCCTTCTCTGAACTCTCTCCAAAGTAACAATATCCTTCTGGAGATATGGTCTCTAGTACTGCGTACAGTACTCCAAGTGAGGTCTCACCAGTGTTCTGCATGAGCACTTCCCTCTTTCTACCGCTAATACACTCTATACAACCAAGCATTTTATTTGCATTTCCTGCTGCTGTATTACATTGTCTGCCTACCTTTAAGTCACCTGAAATAATCACCCCTAAATCCCTTTCCGCAGATATTGAGGTTAGGACTCTATCAAATATTCTGTACTCTGCCCTTGGGTTTTTATGTCCAAGATGCATTATCTTGCATTTATCCACAAATGTCAGCTGCCACAACTCTGACCATTTTTCTAGTTTACTTAAATCATTTGCAGGGAAGCAAGGTTTATGACATCCAGCTTCTGCAGACCTGAAAAGGTTGGTTGCCAATGCTAACACTCAAAGGGTTGAGTGTCAGATGACCGATCTCAGCCAATTAATTTAGGGTGTGCATTTAAATTTACACAGAATTGACATAAGCCAGCTAGGAACTCTTTCTGGGCTTGCTTCTGACACCCCATGACGGTGGCATTCCACTTCTGGCAGCAAAGATGTTAAACTCAGAATGTGCAGCATTTCACAGCGAAATGCTGCAGATACAGACTCAAGCCACCATGACCACTTCAAATCACTGAAATGGTCATGGTGCCTGGTGTAGCCCTTAAAAATGGGTACAAAAAACTCCATCCACATTAAAGATCCATTAAAATGTTCTTTAGCTATTCCTTTAATTGAAAGAAAGGTTACATTTAGAGTGAATATCTACCTCTTGACAGCAGAGTGACTTTCACATAACAATCCATATTTATAAAAGAAAAGAACCCACCATATATCCATTTTGCCCTTAACATACAAAACACAATAATAAAACAAACAAACAAACAAACATTCTCAATAAACTCCTCCTCCAAGATAATCTAGGATGTCCCAGTGAACTTTTTTTGTGAGCAAGGTGTTACAAGGTACTCGAAAATACATGTTTGCCTGTAGTAATTCTAAATCGCTTGGATGCATCTTGCAATGCTGTCAAAAAGAAAGACTTATGTGGGAGGTGTGAAAAGCCTGGGCTTAACTAAAGAAAAGCATCCTAAGTTGGAAGCTCAATGCAAATGTATATAAAAGCAGAGATTTCAATAGAAATGAGCGTAAATAAGAGCTTGATGTGTTAACTTACCATCGTATATCAAGTTAAAATCATACGCTGCTGCATATTCAGATGCTTCTGTTCCAAGAAATGCTTTGACACGCACATGGTAGGATTTATTAGGTCCAGTGAAGATTTTAGACAGATCACAATATTGCTGTGAAATTCTTCTGCACCTTTTGACAACAGTCCAGTTGTCATGCCTGAAATATATAAATAGAAAACATGTCCCAACTTTCTTAAGTAAGTGCCACTGTGATTAGCAAAAATCTGTATATAATGACCTACTTAATTAAGTTGTTTTCAAACTTGTGCATCTTATGACTTTTTTTCACTGCCTCAACCACACAACCATTTGTTAATGTAGGTCCATAGACTTTGCATACAGCTAGAACCCATATGGTTTATTAATAATGTTTACTGTTACTTTTAATTAAGTTTGGTTGCATTTGCATTCTACATACATACATTGGAGCCATTCTTTGCATTAATAATTATATATAGTAACAGTCCATGCAACATTGGGTGTTTAATGGCTGAATCAAATTGGTTTAATACAATTTACAAAGTTCTATCTAGCACTGTATTTTTCATTTTTCAGAATCAATTTGTCATACTATTAGAACCAGTGATTTTGACATAACAGTCTCTTACAATTATAATTTGAATTCAAGTTATTATACATTAGAAGTTTGACGCTTGGTAGCATTGTATAATTACAATTGTGATGCCACTATGATGCACACTGCAGAGTGTGTGATCTCTTAACAGAGTGCTGAACTGACAGTATATATTGCAGGTTTTGCTCCAGCTTGTGTACAGAGAATACATATAGTATTTATCACAGTGTGTGGAGTACGGGCCATTTTGCATTTTTCCTAACAACTGCAGAGGGGTAATCTATCGGGCTTTACTTTGACTGGTATATTGAGGCAGTATCGATTTTAGGGAGCAGGCTAATCAGAGTGGAGTAGGGTCGGGCAAGGTCATATGGCTCATGTGTTATTAGCAGAAAGATGGCTACAAACTACAGAGCCTTGCAGCCTCCCATGCTGCAGTCAGACGAGTTAACTCTGGAGAAATGAAATAGAGAATTCATATTTGTAGATATGAGAGTTACTAGATGCACAAGAGCATGCATGAGTCTATAAGCAAGTGGGTGAATATTAAAGGACTACTAAAGGCGCCTAGACTACTTCATCTCAATGAAGTGGTGTGAGTGCATTGGCCCTTTAATTTAAACCTAGAAAAGGATTGCAGTTTTCTAGAAGCTCCAAAGCTTCCATTACTGGCTTAAACACATCTCTAGTGGCAGTCAACTACAGCAAGGGTGGCCAAACATGGATTCTACTTTTTTTGGTAGCCATTCCACAAGATCCCAATTATCCCAATCCCCGCAAATTCATTGTTTAAAAATTAAGGGTATTTCTTTTTAAGAAGTGCCCCATAGATATATTTTTTTTTTTTTAAAGGACAGAAAAAGCTTTCATTTAATATCCTATATGTATACCTAACACAACATTACCTGCAAATTAAATGTCACAAAAATTAAAAAAAAATTTCCAATAATTTTTTACTCATAGTGCAACAAATTAAAAATAACTCAAAAAAGATTCATATATCAGTCCTGATTTTTAAATGCCTAATAGGTCTAGGATCCAAATAAATTTTTGAAAGTTAACACTAAACATATACCAACACAAACGCTATACTATACATAAATGCTATAATACCCCTTAACCAATGCTTACACTAACTCTAACTGTATATCTACATCCCTTACCTTAGCCTAACATGAACCCTACAGCCATATCTAACCAACAAAATCTTAACCAACCATAAATCTAACCCAAACCCTGCTACTAACTCTAAACCTAACTAAAGGAAACTCTGCTAATATCAATTCAGATATTAGAGTATAATTTTCCTATTTAACACAGCAGATAGTGGTCTGTAACCACCATCTACTGGCCGCTTTCATAATTACACTCGCTATAATCATGAATAGAGCCTGCTTTCCAAGCCCAGTAGAGGACACAATCAAGACCCTGGAAGGGGTCTCCATTCACAAGTCTGCAGCCCAGAAACACAGCAGCTGAATGCGATCGCACAGCCGCAGTTTTCTGAACGGAGTTAAAGGGCTCTATACAGCTCTCATTTCAAGCGCTGCATAGAGCGCATCAATCAGCCTGTGGCCACTAAAAATGGCCCCAGATGACGAAGAACCCCAGGTATCCATTGATACCTGGGTTTAATGGTCTGAGTAGGATTTAACTCTGTTCATACCGCAATATTTACATAAACATTTAAAAGCCAATTTAAAGAGCTGCATGCAGGTCTGACTGCAATGACCCCAGCACAGGCATCCCGAGATATCTAGATTGATACCTGGGGCTTCATGGGATTTAGCACTGCTCAGGCCAAATCCGCAGAGTCTTCCATGCCATCCTACATACATTTAAAGGACACTTTAGTCACCAGAACAACTACAACATAATGCATTTTTTCTGGTTAGTATACCATGTCTCTGCAGCCTTTTTTCTGTAAACTCAGTTTACATTGCTCCCAAGGGACCACTTCAGTGGCCACTCCTCAGATGGCCACTGGAGGTGCGTCCTGGGGCAGTGCTGCACAATGTGCAGCACTGATATACAGTGTCTCCATGCTGAACTTTCCCCAAAGCGATGCATCGATTTAATGCATCTCTATGAAGAGATGCTGATCAGCCAATCCGGCGTTTGGCCCCACCTCCTTGATGATATCAGCCAATCCAATGCTTTTCCTATATGAAAGCATATTAAATTCTGATGTCAGCCAAGGAGGTGGAATGGTGGCGGGGCCACTGCCGGCAGGCCCTCATGGCACTGGAGATAAAGTAAGCCTTCTTACCCTTTAAGGGGGGAAAGTGGGGGCAGCCACCTAAATGGTGGTTTAACGACTATAGAATCAGGAGTACGTTTGTGTTCCTGACCCCTATAGTGTTCCTTTAAGCCAACTCTGAGTAAGACAATATGGAATGTTCTAACGTCACTAACGGGTTAAGGTGAATATGCACATCTTCCATTGTGTGAATGGGAATTAGGGGATGCATGTGTGATACAAGTGCATTTTTCTATGTATAAAGACAATTGATTTAGGCTTACCCAGAATCCTTGGTTTCCACCTGGAAATAAGGAACCGCAGAAGTGATTTCATACTCCCAGCTCACAGTAGTAAAAAAATTGTATGATTTTATGGTCACGTTAAATGGTGGAGAAACTGTACAGAGAAAAAGAAAATAGAACACTACAGACAATCCATTTATTTAACAATAAGGAAACAAAAAGAAAAAACACAAAACACTTAATAGAACATGTTTTGCATAAATCAGTTAAAGAACAATCTATATTACATATATTTAAGACAATAAAAAGTATGAACTGCTGTCATACATGAGTGCAGATCTTCTATCAGGCTCTCTCATAACTGAAATAATGTTACGATCTGTAAGGTAAGTACAAAGGCTTTGTTTCGCTTGCAGAGAATTTTAAGTGCTGTTGAGTGCTGAACTAGATATCACATAAATGCCTACTAGACAGGAGTTTACAGCATATGCAGAGCAAATAGAAACATTATGGGACTATCACAAGTGGCTGAATGATTCAGCTATTTCTTGGTGTGAAAAGAACTCATTGCAAAAGCTTTCTATTTTAAAAATTTGCAGCAAAAGAAAGAACTTCAAAATGCATAATTTTCGGTTGCCTAAATTTATTTTTCAATGGGTGTCTGTAGAAAGATGTGATCTGAAGAGATTTGCCTCCAAGATCCTCAAGAGAATTCTGTACACATGATTGGTTGATTCCTTGAATCCAAATCTTTGCTCAACCGGCTTCAGTCTGGATCAGGGCCGTCTTTAATATTGATTGGACCCTGGGCAAAGCATTTGCTTGGGCCCCCTGGTACCCTCGCCAGGTGTGCAATCATGTCCTCCACCCCAACGCAGAGGCAGACCTAAAGTAGAGCGGTGCACAAATTTTTTTTGAGCACGGGTGATTAGAAGGTAGAAGGTAGTTCCCCATCTGTCGTGCAACTTCAGCATTGCATTGACAGCTGTGGCTCTACCATTTACCCATGTTTGAAGGTTTGTATTTAGCACAACGCTGTTTTAGTGTGTTTGAATGTAAACAGGTTTTTTTGTAAAATAAGTTTGTATGTGGTGTTGGTGTACTTGCAAGCATGTATTTATGTGTAGTGTTGGTTTTTGAATGCAAGGGTGTGTTTACATATAATTTTGGTGTGTAACACAGACATTTGTTTGTACCTAGTGTTGGAGTTTGAATGCAGAGGTGTATTTGTATGTAGTGTTAGTGTGTGAATGCTGAGATGTATGCACATATATACACACACAGATTATATGTATACAAACTGACAGACATACTTACACAGACACATAAACTGACAGACATACTGACACATACATACTGACATATGGACACCGACACATACACTGACAGACATACTGGCACACACAGACACATACTACCACACACCCAGACAGACATAGTGGCACACACACACAGACATACTGACACACACAAACACACACACTGACACACTGACACACATGGACCTACTGACAGACACACACACACACACACACAGACCTACTGACAGGCACACACACACACACAGAGACATACTGACACACACAGGCATACTGACACCCAAACACACTGACACACTGACACACACAGACCTACTGACAGACACACACACAGACCTACTGACAGGCGCACACACACACAGACATACTGACACCCAAACACACTGACAGACACACACACACAGACCTACTGACAGGCACACACACACAGACATACTAACAGACACACACACACACACAGTGACAGACACACACACAGTCATACTCACACACAGACATAGTGACTGACACACACACAGACCTACTGACATAAACACACACATACTGACATAATATGCAAACTGTAAAGCCCCCTCCAGTTTCCTACCTTCCCTGGGGTAAATCAGAGGGCCCGGTCGTGCTGTTAAAGGGCCACAGCACCCGACTGGGCCCCCTGCTGAAACGTGCTCACGATGGGCCTCAATATAAGCACCGCGGCCCTATGGATGGGGAGGGAATTTTTCTTATGCAGGCGATGGGCGGTGGGGCCACGGGGCAGCTGCCCCGTTTGCCCCGCGTTAAAGACGGCCCTGGTCTGGATTCTGCACTCAAAACGGACCTAACCAAAGAATCCAATGATTTAATTACTGCTAAATCCAGTGGTCACTACTCAATCCTAATTCTCCTTGATCTTTATGCTGTTTACGACACTGTTGATCATAAACAACGTCTTCTCATCCTCTGTAATCGCGAAAGATGGCTATTTCTCTTCTCAGCAACCCCTCTATGTCTGAATTACCCAAGGTTCTGTCTTCGGTCCCCTTACTGTTCTCAATCTATATATCCTGCCTTGGTAGACACATCAGCTCATATGGTTTCACCTATAACATCTATGTGGATGACATGCAAATCTGTTCTCTCCTGATCTCTAGTCATTCCTCGACTCGGGTTTCTGACTGCCTCTCTGCTATTTCTAACTGGATGGCTGCTCATTTTGTTAAACTTAACCTTTTCAAAACAGAACTTCTCGTCTTTCCACTTGAAATTCAATGGCAATACCATCAGCTCAACCTCACAGGTTCGCTGCCTGGGTGTTCTCTTTGACGCCAACCTCTTCTTATCCCCTTGTGTCCTATCACTTGCCAAATCCTGCTGCTTTCATCTCAAAAATCTAGCTTGTATCCTCCCCCATCTAAAGCTAAATGCTGCTAAGGTGCTAGTCCATGCCGCTATCATAGCTCGCCTTGACTACTGCAGACCGCTTTTCAACGGTCTTACGCATTCCACCTGGCCTAGTTACAGTCTAAAATAATGTGGCGGTGAGGCTCATCCTTCTGTCCACATGCACCTCCCATGCTTCCCTCCTCAATCATTCCTTACACTGGCTTTCCATAAGATTTAGGGCTCAAATAAAAATTCTGGTGCTTGCTCACAAAACTTTACATAACACTACATACCTATTCTCACTAATAAACAATATCGCATCCAGGCCCCTAAACTTCACCAAAGATCAATGTATATTCTCTGTTTGTACTCACACCTCTAAAGCCGGCCTTCAAGGCTTCCCTAGGGCAGCTGTGTTACCTTCCCTGTTCTATTAGATTCCTGGCCAGTCTCAGTTTCTTCAAAATGTCATTAATAACTCACTTCCTTAGGAAAGCATATCAATTGAACTGTTAACAGCTTTGTTTACCCGCACCTTGGTAACCCATCCTACGTGCTCTCCTGCCACTGTATGATCCGAAAAACTAACCCTTCACTGTAAATTATTCCAGCATCCTACTTTTTCCATTATTCTAGCAACCTACTTTTTCTTGACATGAAATATCCTACCCTTACCTTCCATGCCACTTTAGCCCACTCCCTCTAGAATGTAAGCTCGTTTGAGCAGGGCACTCAACACCCTTTGTTCCTGTGCGTCCAACTCATACTTGTATGTTAGTCCACCTATTGTAAAGCGTTGCAGAATTTATTGCACTTTATTAATAATAATATTTAATAATGTTCTACAATTCAGATTGTGTCTGGTAGCACTGTATGTATTTTCCATTTTCTATTTTCCATTCTACATTAAAACAGACTATTGTAATAAAACTATAAACTTACTTTTTCTTGCATTGTCATTTTGTAAATCTAAGCATATTTCTTTTGATTTCTCTCCAGTTACAGAGAAGTGCTTTGATGTGCCTTGAGCTGAAAGACAGATAGTTTCCTCTTGCTCTGTAGGTACTATATAGGCAGTACAACCCATGCTGTCACATTCTTCAGGGACATACTAAAATAAGAAAATGCATTTAAATAGCTAAAGAACAAGTTAGAGTATGATGAAAATTTTCCCCCTTTTAAGAATAGAAATAAAATATTTAAAGTTAATTATGCATGCACACTAGACATAGAGGAAGAAAGTCCATCCTTGGTGGTCTAACAGGTAATGAGGAGTAGATATCTGTATCTTTACCATAATCTCAACTGATATGGAAAATATTAGACCAGCAACATGGGTAGTTCTGAGTTCTATGCAGTTTTCATGGTTCCCAGTAACATACTGGCAGCTAGCAGCTACATCGTACCGAACAAAATAAAAATAAAATAAGAACACTAACTTAGGCCAGGTTTTGAGACTAAGTGAAAAAAAAAAAAAAAGACTGGAAACATCCAATTTTAAATACCGTGGGTTGTCTATTTTGCAAATAGTATGCCTTGATGGGGTAATCCTTATTCCAAGCTGCCACACAGTCTCAAAAGCAACATAACCAAACTGGCAAATTTCAATGTGTAAAAACTAAAATGGGCCATTCCTATATTTGACCCTGTAACTTTCCAAAACCCCATAAAACTTTTACAGGGGGTATGGTTTTTCTTGTGAGTCTCTGCTGAACTCAAATAGGTTTTAGAGCAGTCAAACATAATGACAATTATATACAGTGAAAGTGCTGTTTTTGCATGAAAAATGCAAAACACAAATATTAATACTAGCTTTGGCCAGGGTTCATGACTAAGTGGCTACTAAAAAAGACTGGACATCCCCCATTTTTAATACCTTGGGTTGTCTACTTTTGCAAATTGTTTGCCATGATGGGGTTAATTTTCATTTCTGGACTGTCATATGGTCTCAAAGGCAACATGGGCCAAGCAAACCAAACTGGCAAATTTCTCATGTGTAAAAACTGAAAAAGAGAGAGCTCGATATTTAACACTAACTTTCAAAAACCACATAAAGCCTGTACATGGGGGGTACTATTATATTAAGGAGACATTGCTGAACACAAATATGTGTCATTTGTTGAAGTAAAAGCTAACAGAACATTCACAATTAAAATGCCACAAAGAACCAATGAGAAAAAAAAAAAAAAAAACTTAATTTCTCATACTTTTTTAGATTTTATTCATAATATATTATGTTTCATATATGAATAGTTGATTTAAAATGAAATCCCTGTTTCTGCTGAACAAAATTATATATAATAAGTGTGGGTGCACTTAATATGAAAGAGGTGCATTATGGTTGAACATACATTTAGCTCAAATTCTAGGCTTTTTTACGTTTCGTTTTGATCAGAATGTGTACAATTGCCTCTGTCCTTAACCCCTTAGTGACGAATGACCGACCCGGTCCGTCATGCCAGGCAAGCAGTTAACGCCGGATGACGGACCGGGTCCATCATGCGCTAAAGTTAACCCCAGATCGCTGCAATCATGCTGCAGGGACTTATGATCCGCCTCCCAGCTCTTCGGCGTCCAGAGTGAAGTGCAGGGAGACAGATCAGCAGTGATCATCTCCCTGGGTAAAAAAAATAAATAAGTTAGTTTAAAATTCCACCCCCTTTAACTATTTTAAATAAAAATTAACCTCTTTCCTGCCAATTGATTACTACAGTGGCAGGGACTACATTTTACTGTGATCTGATTTTTATTTTTTCAACTTTTATTTTTTGTAACCCTCAGTGGTTAATTTTATTAATCAGTTTAACTATATTAAAATTATATATTTAGCTAGCTTGGGTGGGTGAAAGTTAGTGGGGAATTTGGGGTTAGGCTTTGGTAACCTTAAAAAAAAAAAAATACATTAAAAAAAAGGGTTTAAAGAGTTTCAAAAAGTTAAAAAAAATTTAATAACTTTTTTTTAAAAAAAAGTTAAAAAACCCCACCCCTCTCTACCCAGTCCTAATAACGTTTAAAAAAAAGTTTAGAAATCCCACCCCCCTCTACCCAGTCCTAATAAAAATTAACCCCTTCCCTGCCAGTTGATCACTGCCTCCAGTGATCAAAATACAAATCACAATATTATACTGTGATCTGATTTTTTTTTTTTTTTTTAACCCCTTAGGGTTAACTTTTAATGTTTTTTTAACCCTCAGGGCTTCAATTTATTTCATTAATTAATTTAAATAATTTAAAATTATATACTTTTCTAGCTGGGGTGGGTGGGAGTTATGGGAAATTGGGAAATTTACTGTTAGTGCTGCTTACTGCTAGTTAGGGGTCAACGGTAAAAAAAAAAGTTTATAAAAATGTTAAATGTGTAAAAAAGTTAAGAAAGTTGAGGAAAGTTTAAAAAATTTAATAAGCAAAAAAGTTTAAAAGAGAGTTTTAAAAAGTACAAAAAGTTTAAAAGAAAAAAAAACATTAAAAAATGCTCATTACCACTACACATGGAACAAATTAGAAAAAAAATGATCCCATGCTAAGGTTCAAAATTTGCCTTTTGAATTACCCAAGGGTGTATTTTTTTTAATAAATAGTAAGTGTTCGTGGGGAAATTTGAATAACCAACCAGCTAAACTACTCCAAAATGGAACATGGAAAAAAGCGTAAAACTTCACAAAGTTAGAAAAAAACTGAATGGCTGCGTCTCAAATGTACCCCTTCCATGTCCACATATAGCAGGCAAAGGTACATATGAGGGTATTTCTGCACTCAGATGACATAGCTGAGAAACATATGAAGTATTATACAGTCGTAGCATGCATAGGGTTTGCAAAATATACTGTGCAAACTCACTTTGAGTGTCAAAAAGGCAAAAAAAAATGCTTATTACCACTACACTTGGTACAGGCTAGCGGAAAAATGATCCCACGCTAAGGTTCAAATTATGCCTTTTGAAATACCCTGGGATGCCTTCTTTAAGAAATGGTATGCCTTTATGGTGTAGCTGGAATATGTAGCCTGCTCAAGTGCTCCAAAGTGGGAAAATTCACACTTAAAAACCTGAACTTGTCATGTCTCTTTTACAGCACTGTAACTTCACAAAATAGTGTTTAGGTCATACATTGGGCATATTATTTTACTCAGAAGATGTAACCAAGCATAATTTGTTTTTGTTTTTATGACAGTGGTCTGTAAGAAATACTTTTTTTCCCCCTCACCACAAACATTGACATAAATTGGTGAAAAAATGGTGACAAGTTAAGGCACAATATGCACAATATACACCATATAAGATACCCTGCTATAATACCCTAAAATGAGACATAGACCCGTCAAATCCATCTACGAAAATTCTAACTATAGAAACTGAAATAGCCTAGTCTCTTACATGGCATTGTAGCTTTACAAAAAAGTGTCAAAGGCATACAATGGGGGTATCATTATACTCCGCAGATGTAGCCGAACACAACATGGGGTTCTGTGCAGGAATAGCACACACCAGCTTTACGAAATACACATTACAGAAACCTAGTTATGTGTGTATATGCCAAAAACACATTTTTACTCCAATATTTAGCAGAGATTGGTGATGAAATGGCTACATAAAAGTGTCAAACTAATGTTCGGTAAATAGCCTGTGATGTCTACTTTATATAAATATATACTTTTGTGTGGCAATTTTTTTTCTGTGATGGCTACTAAACCTACAAGACAAACATACCAACTCCTAAAATTGTTGCAAATTTAAATTTTATTTTAGTCCTTGTATTTTGTGACCTGTAACTTTCAAAATAAGCTGAAATCCTATACATATGATGTACTCTATAAATCAAGACACATAAATTAATTTATTTTGAATTACTTTTTCTAAGCTGGACATATTATGCACACGCTATTATTGCCAAAACTTAAAAAAAAAAAATATTTATTTTTTTCTTCAGTTTTTTTGCATTTTTTTTTATTATTAATGAGAATGTATCTATGGATATGTGACATCAAATTTAAGCCCTGTTTGCCCTCTAAAAAAAAACCCCAGTATATAATATGTGTTGGTGCAATAAATGAGAGAGATGCAAATTGCATTTGGACACAAACAGCAAAAGATGCAAAAATGGCTTGTGTCCTTAAGGGTAAGACAAGCGTCTGAAGCGGTGTCCTTAAAGGGTTAAAGGCTAAAGGGATATTTTTGCATCTAACTTTTTTAATTGTTAGCTTAATGAAACAGTTTTGGTGTATAGATCATGCCCCTGCACACTAACTGCTTAATTCTTTGCCACTCAGACGTAGCCACAACCCCCTCTGCATGTAACTCATACAGCATTCACAAAAATGGTTTCATTTTCAAATAAATCTTACAGCACAGCATGTTTACATTAAGATGTTCTTAGCTACTGCTCCATTAATTGAACTTTGATCATACAGAGAAAACTGCTGCAGGCTCTAGCAGGCAATTCATAGAGCAAGAGAAAAGAAATTCTAAGTTAAACACACTGTTCAATAAAGGAGAGCTCTCTCTTTTAGGAATTGTTTAATGAGGATGTGTGAGACACAGCCAGGGTACATATGGCTAGAACTGCATAAACAAAGACCGCAGAGGGAAATGACCTAAACAAAAACAAAAACCCAACAACTTCATGAAGAAGTCTGAATGGCACGGTAACAAACAGTGCTGCAAATAGGGCCATTCAGACTTCTGAATTTACTTTTTTTTTCCATTCCCATTTTTTTTCATTAGTTCTGTCTGGAAATACAGATTCTTATTTGGCCTTTTTGAAGCTGAAAAACAGAAGAAAGAAAACTTCTGATGCAAGAAAATATAATTTTTATTTTTTTTGTAGATTTTAGATTTATTTTTAGGTTAATTAATAGGTTAGGTGGGGGAGTAGGTAGAGCTATTTATTCTTATAATAGTTGGATATGGATTGGGGACCCCTAGCCACTAGTGGGGGCATACTACTATGTGGGAAGGTGAACAATGGTATGCCCACCCCTCTAATGTATAATTCAGCCAACCCCATGAACAGAGGCTTGAGAAACACTAGATCCTCCACCTGACTATTATTCTTTGTGCTCCGATGGAAAGGGTGGGGGTCGTGTGACTGGGCCCTACCCCCTGATTAGTATTATTGTTAGGGCCTCCGCCACCAAGGGGTGGGTACCAGAAAGGCGGGAAAGATCACTAGGTCCTCCCCCTGAAATATATAATTGATCCTACTTGCTGACCACAGGTGTGGGCACCTTGTTCATCCCAGTTATGGCTACCCAGTCACTACTTTTAAACATTACGTATAAATACAGATGATGCACAGAAAGGTAAATACCTCCATTATAGTAACATATGAATCTTATTGAGCCTCATAGTAGATTTATTTGTAACTTTTTTTTCTTGTGGCTGGGTTATTTGAATAATAATTCAACAGCAAAAATAAAACCTCGAACATAAAATTTGTAGCTCACCTCAGATGTTTTATTTCCACGTATATACACAACATATTTAAAATCTTCATAAAAGTCCCCTATGGTCTTTTTCCTCTTTTCCGTTGAGGGTGTGGTAGGGTGCCATATATCCAAAACAATTTCATTATTTTCCACAGTAGCATTGAGAGTAGGTGGGCCAATAATGCCTAGAAAAAAAAACAAAAAACAAACTTCTGGTAAACCTTAGCTAAGCTAAGAGTATCAGAAAATTAAACATGATGCTGACAAAAATCTCTCTCCTGCTTGCAGAAACAGTCAGTGAATTTGTATGGTACTGAATAAAAAGTACAAGAAACTCCATTCATGTAAAAGAGCTATAAAACTGCCTGTCCCAAATAATTCCCCTGCTCCTAGCTCAGAATCAGACGCTTCCCAATAAAAAGCCTTTTGGTCATTTCCCCTGCACAGACTGAAAGCCTATGCTGTGGAAAAAGGGTTGGTATTGCAAGGGCTGCAGACAGACAACTTGTAGCTTATATTTTTCCATAAACCATCCCAAAGACAACATGCATAAATAAATGCTTGCATGCTTTCATTCGGGGGTATATCTAGTAAACATTTCCCTCTCCCCCATACAAATATAATTGATATTTTACACAATATTGAGGCTGTAAAACCATGCTTTTACCAAAGACACAAATGTTAAAAAACATTAGCCATTTTGATCAAACCAATTTTGGAATGTTGCCCTATATAGGCAACTTTATTTTCTTGTATAAAGGATGTGTAAGTGGTATGGATTATAAAAGTCATCATAAGGACAGGTCCAAAAATATTTTAATAATTCAGCTCCAATTCAATGCAGTGGAAAATTATCTAGGTATAGAGAAGATTTTAGGTCTGCAATTATATCAGACAACATGCTGAGGGCAGCTAAATAAGTCCCATTACAATGTGTTAAAGTCAAGTGGTGAGACTGGAGATGCTTGGCCTATATTGCGTAAGGTACTTTGAGTAAAAGGCTTAAAGGAACACTAGTCACCAGAACAACTACAGCTTATTGCATTTGTTCTGGTGAGTAGAATCATTCCTTTCAGGCTTTTCGCTGTAAACACGGTCTTTTCAGACAAAATGCAGTGTTTACATTACATCCTAGTGATACATTGACTGGCCACTCCTCAGATGGCTGCTAGAGGTGCTTCCTGGGGCAGTGCTGCACAGTGTGACTGCCATTCAGTGTCTCCACCCTCTGCATGAAAACACTGAACTTTCCTCATAGAGGTGCATTGATTCAATGCATCTCTAGAAGAAGATGCTGATTGGTCAGGGCTGTGTTTGACTTGTGCTGGCTCTGCCCCTCAACTTCTCCTTGACAGTCTCAGCCAATCCTATGGGGAAGCATTGTGATTGGCTCAGATCACCACTTCTGATGATGTCAGCAAACAGAGGCAGTTCACAGGCAAACAGGGGCAGAGCCAAGAGCTGCAGACTTGAATACAAGTAAGATTTTACTAGATTTAGGGAGGCAAGAAGGGGCCAGGGGGCATAGATGGAGGTTTCAACAATACAGGGCCAGGAATATGTTTGTGTTAATGACCCTATAGTACTCCTTTAAGGGGAATATCTATTCTTCTAAAAGAAAGCAGAAAGCAGTGGACAACAACTCTAAAGAAAACCAATCAAAATAGGTAACTCACCATCAATTTTCAAGCAAAAATCTCTTTTTGTGGCATATTCAGATTCTTCTGTTCCAAGAAAAGCTTTTATACGCACATTGTAGAAAACATCAGGCTCTTTAATTTTTTTTGAGAGATCACAGTGATGCTGTGGGATTCTTTTGCAGTTATTGACAACAGTCCAATTGTCACCAGTTCTAAAATATAAAATGGGAATTATAATCATGCAACTCTCCCAGGGTTATTCACTAAACTCCTTAATAAGATTTTAGTGAATTAAATCCAAATTGCAAAAACAGAGGCTAAAATAGCTAAGCTGTGGCTAAAGCCAAGCTGAATATTTTTTCTAAACCAGCTATTTTAGCCTCAGTTTTGCCAAAATGTTGTATTAAGTGAATAACACAGAATATATGTAATTTAAATAGAATCTACAGTGACTGAAATACTTTGATAAATATTCTATGTATGTGGACACACTTGATACTTCTTTCCATTATATTTTTAAAACAGGATCACCGGATCTTAAAATGAGCCCATCTGAAACTTCAACACAAGGTGTTTATGTGAAGCAACATTCATGTTAAATCTTCGGTTCCCAAGAAGCTTTCAAATCGCTTTCTTCACAGTTTGTACATAAAATGTCACCAACACACTGGGATTTAGTGTCTCAAAGTATATGACATGCAAAGCAGCAATGCAGTTTGCCTTTGACCAACATAACATACTTTTTTTTAATGTGCAACACTTAACACTATGAACACCATAGCACTACAGCCTGTGAGCGCATGCTCTTTAGAGACTTTTGTCAAACAGTTTTTAAGGAGTTTTCCTAGACCCCAGGTCAAATTGGCGCATCAGAATGTTTTAACGTTGATTTGTCAGAAGAAGGGATACCTTTGAGTACCAGTGAGACCTCATTTTGTCAAACTATTTGAAAGCCGTTTAAACGAAAACTTGCGTGATTAGAACCAAAGCTCCTTGCACCATAGCAGCTACACTAAGGATCATGGCTGCATCCTTTTTTTTTTTTTAACCCCCCTCCCGACTCGAATACATCTAATAGCCCCTCCGGTCGCCCCCAAATGCCCCATTACCTATATTTAATATTTATTTTCTGCCCGGACCTAAGTCCTGGGCGCCGCCATCTTTGTGTTGGTAGATGAAGTCTCTGTGAGACACGTCATCTGCCCACACTAGATAGCGTTGTGAAATTCCCGTGCATGCCAAGTTTGGCATTCGGACGGGAATTTCTATAATTTATTCGTCAGAAAGACGAATGAATGAATAGAAATTTCAAACGAAGAAACAAAGACCGAATGTTGGTGTTTGGTTGTTCGTTAATTTCTTACAAGGAGAGAGCTGCGCTTGTAATAAATCTAATATGTAAAAATAGAAGCATCAGGGAGCTGTGCTCCCCGCCACTTCCTAACCCCCCCACATGTCCTCCCTCACTCTTTGGGGGTCAATATGACTCCCATAATAGCATAAGGGAGATTAAAATCACCCGAATGCCCCTACTCGCTATGTCGCGACTGTTGTGAACCTCCCCATCTATTAAAAAAGTTTGATGACGTATTACATTTCTGGAGCGCTCTAAAAAAGAAATTTAAAAATCTTTGGATTTATTATTTGGAGTTGGAATTATTTACAAATTGCTGCTGAATACACTGCGTATGATACCCTTAAACATACACAGTATACATAGAAAACAAGATCGTTGAGAGTGGAGCAGTATATTAAAAGATGGTGACTATTTAGGTGATAAACCCCAAATATATATACACAATGTATAGTAGTTGAGAGTAATACTTAATGCAATACTCAGCATTTAAGAGATGACCTCCATATGATGTTCCTCAGTACATACAAAATACATAATAGTGTAGATTGTACAGAAATCTCAGGTTTGAATAGTGTTCCCACACAATATACCCTATTTAATGGGCTAAGGAAATACACTGGCAGAATAAAATAGATTCAATTGGGTAAAGAGAGAATAATACAATGAATTTATTAACAGGACATATTTAAAAATTTCCAACACATTAAACAGACTGCCTCTTACTAGAGAGAATGGTGAGCTGTTTCACAGGGTTGCGTTCCAGCATAAAGATGCGAGCCGTTGTTAGTCTCCGCCCCCTCTGATGAAGTCTACGCGTTTCGCCGTTAACCCAGCTTCCTAAGGACTTTGATGCTGCGGTAGCCATCTTTGGGGAGGGTTTTAAAGCCCTTAGTAATATATTTGGCTTTTCCGATAGGTGCTCTCATAAGTCCTCATTAACATTCCCCCAAGACGGCATTTGGAGAGTAATACTTAGTCTTTAACAACATAAAGTTCACGTATTAAATGGGTAGAGAATCATATTGCTCTGGCACAATAATAAACACACATAAACTGGCAAAGGGCATTATTCCCAAAATTTTCATTTTAATCTTTATAATACAATTCAAACGAGTTTTAGATCATTACAAAGTATAACATGTTTATGAAAAGAATGAAAAAAATAGTCGCCTCCAAAATTATTTCATTCATGTGGAGAAATAGCTAAAATTTAATTAAAAGGAAAAAAAGAAAAAATGTATTAATATTATTGTTTCAATGAAAACCATTCTTTTAGACTTTTATAAAGTATAAAGTGACTGCTAATGCATCAATACCCATTTTATATTGTCAAACTTGCAGGGATGCAGTGAACTCTCATTCTTAAAGTGATAGTACATAAATTGTAATGATTTAAAGTGACAGTGATCATGCAGTTACAGAACATATTAATTTGATAACACTGATACAATAGGGATTCATGGAAACAAGGGGGTACTCAAAATTTAAAATGTAATATAGGTTAAAAGTTCGAAATACCTTTTTTAGAATAATATTTTAAAATGTACTTAAAAATGTACCCAATTATTTTAAAAAGTGGCAGATCTCAAAATCATTGTTCAAGCCATCGGGTATCATTGTATTTAATTCATATATACATTTCATCTCTGCTTGACCTATTTTTTGGACGAAATCTCCCCCCCCCACCTCCAATCACTTTTTACTTTTTGGATTCCCATGAATTCCAGTCCCATTGAATTTGCATTATGGTGATCTCTAAAGTGTACAGATACCTGATGGAGTGCAAATTTTCTCTTTATGTTGTACACATGCTCACATAATTCTGGTCCGTAGTGGTCAAGTCGTGCGTCCCACATACCCAAGTCCGCAAGGGCAAATGAGCATGTATACAACATTCTGAGAGCTGCAGGTCATACCATTGGTTTTGGCCCCCAGAGTACGGACATATAAAGTTTATGTCGCTGTTAAGTGTTATATTACTTTGCTTATATTCTAATAGGTCTGTTCTCTCTTTAAGGTGTGTATCCTTAATGGCACTTTCTAGAAGTTCTTCTTGATACCCCCGGTCTCTAAAGTCTTGGACCCATTTTTGACTCTGTTCTATAAACATACTTGTTTCCGTACAGTTTCTTTTTAGTCTAAAAAGTTGGCTCTTTGGTATGTTACTCAGCCACGGACTATAATGACAGCTACTGGTGTTAATGTAGCTGTTCACATCCACAGCTTTGAAAAAGGTTTTGGTCTTTAAAAGGTAATTTTCCACATAAATAGTGAGATCAAAAAAGTTTATTTCGTTGTTAGAATTGATGAACTCAATAAAAATTGTTGTAAAAGTTGAAAAAAATTATTTTTTTCCTTTTAATTACATTTTAGCTATTTCTCCACATGAATGAAATAATTTTGGAGGAGACTTTTTTCATTCTTTTAATAAACATGTTGTACTTTTTAATGATAAAAAACTCTTTTGAATTGTATTATAAAGTTTAAATGAAAATTTAGGGAATAATGCCTTTTGCCAGTTTGTGTGTGTTTATTATTGTGCCAGAGTTATATGATTCTCTACCAATTTAATACATGAACTTTATGCTGTGAAAGACTGTTTACTCTCCAATTGCCATCTTGGGGGGTATGCGAATGAGGACTTATGAGAGCGCCTATCAGAAAAGCCTAAAGCCTAAGGGCTTTAAAACCCTCACCAAAGATGGCTACTGCTGCATTAACGTCCTGAGGAAGCCAGGTTAACGGCGAAACACGTAGACATCAGAGGGGGCGGTGACTAACAACGGCTCGCATCACTACGCTGGAATGCAACCCTGTGAAACAGCTCTGAACTACAGATTTAGAAGCCGGGATCTCCAGCTCCACTCTTAAATCAAGCCGGGCAGTGAGTAGTGGCGTATGCCGTGCTAAACTCACCATTCTCTCTAGTAAGAGGCAGTTTGTTTAATGTGTTAGAAATTTTTAAATATGTCCTATTAATAAATTAATTGTATAATTCTTTCTTTACTCAATTAAATCTATTTTATTCTGCCAGTGTATTTCCTTAGCCCATTAAATAGGGTATACAGTGTGGGAACACTGTTCAGACCTGAGATTTCTGTACAATCTACACTATTATGTATTTTTTATGTCTCTTTTGTATGTACTGAGGAACATCATATGGAGGTCATCTCTTAAATGCTGAGTATTGCATTAAGTATTACTCTTAACTACTATACATTGTGTATATATATTTGAAGTTTATCACCTAAATAGCCACCATCTTTTAATATACTGCTCCACTCTCAACCATCTTGTTTTCTTTAAAAAAAAGTCCCCCCCACCTATCTATTAACCATCAGAAGGAACATAGTGTCCCCCTTCAGCGGCGGGTGGGGGCTTATTGCCCCCCACCCATGAGTGGCGGGTGGGGGCCTATTGCCCCTCCGGCCCCAACCCATGGGACCTAAATAGCTTGGAATTCAACCAGAGTGCTCCGAGTAATATTACACTGCGTGGGAAAGTTCTTTGGAATTTTCCCACGCTGTGTAAAATGACTCAGAACACTGATTGGTTGGATTCCAAGCCAACCAATCAAAGTGTTGTTATGAGTCAAATTACACAGCGTGGGAAAATCCAAAGAACTTTCCAACACTGTGTAAAATTACTCCGCGCACTCTGGTTGGATTCCAAGCCAACCAATAAGAGTGCTCTGATAGGTAAATAGCGAGCCAATCAGGTAAGGCTCACTGTTTACCTATCAGAGCGCACCTATTGGTCGGCTTAAACCAACCAATCAGAGCCCTCTGAGTCAAATTGCAGGGCGTGGGAAGGCTTTATAAGCCTTTCTCCGCCCTGTGGAGCGCAGTCTGTGTGGTGCCCTCGCTGGGTAAACATGGATTATTTTTTTTAGCGTCTGAATTTTTTTCCCCCTGCTTTTTTGGGGGGTGCTAGGGGTCTTTTTTTAATTTTATAAATTCGACGGGCTTTATGGTTTTTAATCTGGCCTTCTTTGGGGTTGAAAAAAGAAGACTTCAAATGGTAAGTATTTATTTTTAAATACAGGGAGTTAGTTTTATTGCCCCCCCCCCCCACTATTTTTAGGATGAAGGGGGTAGGTAGAAATGTGTTTTATTTTTTGGGCTGGAGGGGGGTGACTAGGTGCTTGGGGACCACTAGTCACCCCCCTCCAAGGATTTTTTAATTTATTTTTTACATTTAGAGCTGGAGACGACAACAATAGGTCCTCCCCCCATTGTCATTTAGGGCCCCCACCCGCTGCTTATGGGTTGGGACCGGGACAACAGGTCTCCCTCGCCCCCTCTGTTTTATCTTAGGCTGCTCATGGATGGGGGACGGGGGAGGACCTATGTCCTCCCCCCATTGTCATTTAGGGCCCCCACACGCTGCTCATGGGTCAATAGGTTCTCCCATAGCTAATAGGGGCAGAGTAATTACTAATACCAATAAATAAAGTATAAAAGTGAAAAAGGTGAAACCCGGAAGTGTTATGGAACCCGGAAGTAACAGAGGGTGAAAAATGGCGCCAAAAAAAAGCTATAAAAGACTGCATGCCTGGACTATTTTTAATACCTCTGATGAAGGCTTGATAGCCGAAATGTGTTAGGTGTTATTTGTTTCCTAATTTTTGGGACATTATTCTAATACCTTTTAAATTTGTTTCCTGTTATATTGGATAATAAAGTTATAGTTGTAACCCCCTAAACCAGCTGTTTGGAGGTACTTCTTGTAAGGATTATGAAGATAAGTCCATGGGAACGTCGAGTTATTCAAGGCATGCAGTTTGAGCCAGCTTTTTAAGTGGCTCTGTATATGTGAGTGAGACCAACACATATTTTATTTATTGTTTTTACTTTATTACCCTATGTTTCCTTCTCTTTGTTTTATTACAGGATAAGTGATTCATCATTTGTGGGTAAAAATATTTGTGTGCTCTCACTATTATTTGTTTGTACATAATTACTAATACCAAGTAATTTTTACTTAGTATTATTAAATTTGGCTGAAAGACCAGTTTTGGTCTTTCAGCCTTGTAGTAGATAGCTCCCGAATACTGTGGGAATTAGTGAGCTGTTTACTACGTGACTGCAAGATGCAGCCGCGGCACGAATACGATCACAATTTAATTTATTCAAATTAAATTCTGATCTGAACAGAAACTACCGAATGCCATTCTAACATGAATTAACCGGCTGTTCATTCAAATAGGACGGAATTCAGTAGTTTCGCCAGTGCCCTATCTATATGACAGGATGGTGGGGAATAGTGAAAGGAGGCATCGCAAGATCAGATGAGAATTGTGAGAAAATTCCATTGACCGTGTGAAGTGGGTCAAAGCTGGTCAAGCGTAGGAAACCTCCACAAGATAAAAGTAGTCCCTACTTTGTCTTATGTTTTAAAGAAAACTAGAGCAGACAGGAAGAAAAGAAGAGCAGTTCCTGAGAGAGGGAGAGAAGTGGAAGCGATTTGGGAAAGGTAAGTTCCGCATGACAGTGCCGCTTTAAAGTGTCCTTTAATAAAGCTGGTAAAAATGTAATGTAATAATAATGCCTATTAGCGAGAGGCATACGGACATCAGAGTGGGACCATGAGTGGTCATATGGCCCAAAGTTTGACATCGCCTGAACACATGTCAGAAGCTTCTTAGCCTCACCACCCCACTGCTGCAGAGAGCATTCTCCATGGCTGCAAAGTTATTAGTGTGCATGCCTCAATTATATTAGAATTAGCAGGTGCTTATTTAATTTTTTTTTATTGCGAGTGAATAGGTGCGTATTTTTTCAGTAGGAGTAATTTGGTACATGTACAGGTGATTACAGCAAAATGGTGCTCTACTAAGTACTAAAGATGTTTGCCATGATAGTGGAGAAATGATAAATTGCATTTTCAGATACACTTGGGGAAACCACTTGAAGCATTCGTTTCTAGTTCAGTTGCTTTTGTTTGATTTGTTCATATGTTTGTAAATGTTGACAGTATATCTGATTTTAATTGGGGGTTGAATCATTTTGATTACAACTGTATATACAAAACACAAATTATGTAATATTACGCTTACTTGTAATTCTTGATTTCCACTTGAAAATAAGGACTCACAGAAGTTATTTTATACTCCCATTGTATAGTAGTATTAAAATTATATGATTTCATTTCCAGATTAAATGGTAGAGGAACTGGAATTAAAAGAAGAAGAAAAAAAAACAATCAGTTTATTTGGAAACAAAGGTTTATATTTGCATTAACCTCTTAATGACGGAGGCAATTCTACAAATTCTGATCAAAACAAAACGTAAACAAAACAAAACTTGGATTCTGACTGTCTGTTCAAGCATAATCCACCTCTTTCATATTAAAAGCACTCACACTTATTAGATATCATTTTGTTCAGGAGAAACAGATCTTTAATTTCCCATCAAATATTTATATATGAAACAATTTTATTTGAATAAAATCTAAAAGATTTATTTTAACTGTGCATGTCATAACACTGTTAGCTTTTACTTCAATAAAATACACATATTTGTATTCAGCAATGTCTCATGAATACAACAGTACCTATCAGGTGCAGGATTTAAGGGGTTTTGGAAACTTACAGGGTCATATATAGGGCATTCCCCTTTTCAGCTTTTACAGAATTGGAATTTGCGAGATTGGCTTTCTAGGCCTATATTGCCTTTGAGACCATATGGCCGCCCAGGAATGAAAATTACCCACATGCAGACGACCCAGGGTGTTCAAAATGAGTGTATGTCCAATCTTTTAGTAGCCACTTAGTCACAAACACTGGCCAAAGTTATTGTTCAGATCATTTGTTTGCATTTTTCCACACACAAACTGCACTGTCACTGATGATGTTGTGATATGTTTTACTGTTTTGAAGCACTTATATTTGTATTCAGTGAATTCTCCGAGTACAACAGTCCCTCCCCTTAATTATGTCAAAAGATTACATAAATATACATGTAGAATGTGTGTGTGTATGTGTATATATATATATTTGTGTTCGGGGCAAATAGTCGTATATGGAGTAAGGTTCCAGCATAAGCTTAGGATAGTATAAAGGGAGCAAGTCGGTTGTGGTGTGCCGAGACCGACGATACGGTAGGCCTGTAAATAAAGAGGGCCCACCAAGGAGTAAGAAAGTAAAGTAAATGGAAAGAAAAGAGAAAGTGTTGAAATGAGGAGTGGGTGGGAGGGTCATTCTGATGCTGACCTCAAGCGATATGAGTCAGGTAAGGGGTGTCCCTTATATAGGGGAGTGAATTAATTTAAGCCCCTCCCACAAATACAGGCCAAATGGCCTTAAAACTTGTGTTCGGGGCAAATAGCCGTATATGGAGTAAGGTTCCAGCATAAGCGTAGGATAGTATAAAGGGAGCAAGTCGGTTGTGGTGTGCCGAGACCGAAGATACGGTAGGCCTGTAAATAAAGAGGGCAAAAAGAATAATCAAAGATTTAATACAGTCAACAATATATACAAATTAACCAGACATTTCCTTAAATGCATTACGGTATTTAATTCCTTGAAGGATTTTGAAGGTAGGAATCTAGGACCGCAACTGGACACCATTTGTTGTGGTTAGGATAGTATGTTATCTCTACTGTTGGTGCGTGTTGACTTGTTTCGGAATGTGGTAGAGCCAATAGGTAATGATATATGTGTTTACATACGTGGGATTGTTGAAGACAATGATCTGTCTGAGTGGTGGTTATGGTAGTGGATTCTCTGGCCTGTGAAAGGCATAAAAGGCAGTGTGCATGGCTGGTAATGGCCGACTTGGTAGCATAATTGAATGGTTGTAGCTCTAATAGGTCCGATAAGGATTGAAAAGTTGGATGGCTATTGGTAATCTCTGAGAGGAACGTGGGGGGATGGATTCCTGAAACCTCTGAGTATATTCTTGTCTGGTATGATAGCATGAAGTTATGGTAGTTTTGGCCATAGGTTATCCTGTGTTGTTGAATGCCTGTAAAATATATAATTAATGGTGTGTGAGATGGTTTTAGTTTAAGGTGGCAAAAATGAAGCAAAACCTAGAAATGTTATGACACAGGTTGAGCTATGTTGTGTTCCAATGAGATTCTTTAAAGCCAGGTGAATAGCTGTGTTATGCGTTCTACAAGTATGGGATGAAAGTGCTAGGTGGGATAGTGCATGCTATGCTGCATGAGTATGTCTAATCCATGATTTTGTCTATGGAACGAAAGAGTGGCCGAGACTGTATGGGCGGCTGTAGGAAGCATATGATGAACATGCCTGGAATATAAATTAGACAATTGTCCGCAGGGATGTATACCCTCGCCTGGTACATGAAAGTAAAAGAAATGTGGTAAGTGGCCAACCAAGTGAGTTCCCCAGCAATACCATGCGTAACAACGGATTGATGACCCTGACCATGATTTACCCCATGCCACAGCAGCTGCTTTTAGCGGGGAAAGGATTGCCCATTTTATGCCATGTAAGTGCCAGTGTGTAGGGTAGATGGTAGCCGTTTACTGCGTTGATGATATTGGTCTTACTTAACCAAGTTTCAACCCATGCTTGAGTGATAGCTGTAAAGGTAGATCAATGGTGTTGTATAGTAAGAAAAATCTTCGGAGGGTATGAGGGAGTTGAGACTTGGGGTAGCGGAGGTGTGTGGTGCCAATAAGTCTATGGTTAGTCTTTGTTTAAGGGAAGATTCCTTGTGACAATACCAATGTGTGTGTATGCTGTAAATGGTGGAAATTGGAAGACCCCTCTGCAAATCTTGGCTATGAGTGTGTTTACAGCCAATGGTTTGTTGTGCTGACTGTAAGTGAGGGCATGCTATATTCCTTGAAGGTGTGTTTATGATAACTGTATGGGAGCCCTTTGAAGCTCCAGAGCTTTAGTAAATCTACTACAAGTCTGGAAGGGTGATGAGTCAGTAGTGTTGAAAATGCATTGGTGTGTACAGATGGTGAATACGTTATTTGTAAGTTGTATTGGGACACATGGTTTGTCATGTGCCCTGAACTATTTGAACATATATGCAAAAGTCTGTATGCAATGCAACTACTCATATCAGTGGTCTCTGGTAGTTCAGAGGTGCTGGTACCTGGAGCCTGAGAGTGCTCGTCCATTTGTTTGGGACAAAATCCCTTCTGTATGGGTACCTGCACAAATAAACATCTCCACATATTCCAAATGCCAACCCAACCAAGGGATGGTCAGTTCCCAATTTACCTGGAATCCCTGGATCTGACCATCACAGATACATCATCATACATATATATGCCTTGCTTCCCCAATGTGCTGGGATCATACGTGCAGGTTTAACATCTTGTGTGTCATAAGAATTGATTGTACCAGGTAACAGAGTTTCGGTTGGTGCTGGTTGTACTGTAGCGTGAGGCCCAGCCTTGTGAGGGCTGTGGTGACCAACTCGAGATTGCCAGTCTGTCATAATTTTTTTTTTTTTGGCTCATGAGTTTATGAGTGAAGCTAGCATAGCCTGGGTGTCACCTGAGTTGATGTAGCTGGGCCTTCCCCTGCCTCCGTGTTGTCCGTTGATGTATAGAGGAGTTTGAATAACTGCTTTCCTTGCTGTAGCAGGGTAGGGGACTGGTCACCTCCTTAGGTCGGTGGTAATGTGTGGGATCGTCCAGGATCTGATTGCTGCTGGACTAGCAACATCTCCTCTGCTTGAAGGTGTATCAATTCTAGCCGGGGTGTTAGGAAGAGGTGATTCTTCACCATCTTTTTGAGAAATACTTAAATAACAATAAAGATTGCAATTATTATTTGTACCCAGGGGTCTTGTACTGGCTTGCTAGCTAAGCCATAAGGCAAAACAATTAGGCTTGGTGTTTTTTGGTGACTGGTGAGGCCCGGCTAGTTGCCAAGTGGTTTGAGAGGCTCTATCTATGCGTTGGCGTGAGGGGATTTTTTGTGGCCACCGAACGTTGTGGCAGGATGTTGGCCTCTCAGTGACAGTAACAAGAAAATAGGAAGGGGAGTGACAGGTGAGGCCCACTCTATGATACAATGCGAGGTGGCTAGCTCACGAGTGGCCTGAGGCGGGTGTGAGGCGGGGTGTTGGCCTCGCAGGACAACTAACCGAAGCGTAATGCAGAGAAAAAAGGGGGTAATACCTATTGGGCCCTAGAACCCTAATTGCCAGTATGCTATTACTATTCCATGTAAGGTAAGAGATGGATAACTACGTGAGCAGGTGTATGTACCTGGTAGTATGGTATTGAACCTGACAATCCGTATAGGTTTTACTACTTGATATCTGAATTGTTGTATGTCTTATTGAATGGTAGGGGTCAGTGAACATGGTGTTGCAAAATGCAAGTGCACTGGAAATCTGCCGAGTGCCCTATAGGTGGCAGTGTAGTTGGATACTGATTGGTATGTGAAATGTTGTTTGTCTGTTGACCTACAGGGGTCAGTGTTTTGGTGTTTGTAAAACCCCATGAAAATTGTCAATGTACTTGACAGACCTGTAGGTGGCAGTGTTGATAGAACCACTGTTGGTCTTGATGTGAAATGTAAATTATTGTGAATTAAACCTGAAGTTGAGCCCGTGCTGGAGTTTAATTTATGGTCTATAGTTATGTTTAAAACAATCTTATGTGTAATTTATATTGGCTGGTAAATTGTATATGACATGTGAAGACAGTTTTGCTGTTGACCAGTAGGGGTCAGAAATGCTGATTGTATGTTAAAATAACCTTTAACCCCTTAAGGACCAAACTTCTGGAATAAAAGGGGATCATTACATGTCACACATGTCATGTGTCCTTAAGGGGTTAATGCTACCATTTGACAGATAGAAGTCAGTATGAAAGCGAAAATGCTGTAGTTAGTTTGTTTGCTTATGAAGTGGAATAAAATCTGAGAAGCCTGTAGTATACTGATTGACCAGTAGGGGTTAGTATGTAGGCGAAAATGCCGTGGTTAGTTGGTTTGTACATGAAATGCAATAATGTCTGAGAAGCCTGTAGTACACTGAATGACCGGTAGGGGTCAGTGTGTAGGCGCAAATGCAGTGGTTCGTTGGTTTGTACATGAAATGCAATGTCTGAGAAGCCTGTAGTACACTGAATGACTGGTAGGGGTCAGTGTGTAGGTGAAAATGCAGTGGTTTATTGTTTTGTACATGAAATGCAATAATGTCTGAGAAGCCCGTAGTACACCGAATGACCGGTAGGGGTCAGTGTGTAGGCGAAAATGCAGTGGTTTGTTGATTTGTACATGAAATGCGATAATATCTAAGAAGCCTGTAGTACACTAAATGACCAGTAGGGGTCAGTGTGTAGGCGCAAATGCAGTGATTCGTTGATTTGTACATGAAATGCAATAATGTCTGAGAAGCCTGTAGTACACCAAATGACCAGTAGGGGTCAGTGTGTAGGCGCAAATGCAGTGATTCATTTATTTGTACATGAAATGCGATAATGTCTAAGAAGCCTGTAGTACACCAAAAACCGGTAGGGGTCAGTGTGTAGGTTAAAATGAGGTGGTTTATTGGTTTGTACATGAAAATGCAAAAAACTTCTAAGATGCCTGTAGTACACCGAATGACCGATAGGGGTCAGTGTGTAGGTGAAAAATGCAGGGGTTGGTTGATTTTTTACATGAAATACAATAATGTCTGAGAAGCCGGTAGTACACCAAATGACCGGTAGGGGTCAGTGTGTAGGCGAAAATGCAGTGGTTCATTGGTTTGTACATGAAATGCAATAATGTCTAAGAAGCCTGTAGTACACCCAAAGACCGGTAGGGGGTTTAAATGAATGATATGCATGAACATGCAATGGTTTTAGAACAGACATAGACAAAATGCAGCCGTAAAGTGAGGACCTGACCCGTGCATGGTGCCATGGGACTGATGCCTGGCGTAACGGGTAGGTCGACTTACGGTTTGTGAGTCACTTGGACACCATCCACGGCGATGGATTGAAGAAAGAAGGTGGTAGGCCGGAAAAGTCTGTGGCTGGATTCCTGACACAGCTCTGCTTAGAAAACCTCATGGAGTAATCAGGTAAAATGGCGTCTGGATGACCCGGAAGTGGAAATCATTCTGATGCTGACCTCAAGCGATATGAGTCAGGTAAGGGGTGTCCCTTATATAGGGGAGTGAATTATTTTAAGCCCCTCCCACAAATACAGGCCAAACGGCCTTAAAACATATATATATATATATATATATATAAAAAAATATTTCACTTAAGCTGTGTGTAATCAATGTCCTATAAAAGAACATTAAACACCTGTCCACATTCTCTTGATAAAAGTCCACTATTGACTGAAACATTGAACTTGTGTGCCAACTTATGTTACACTGATCTAAGTGTATGTATATGTATATATATATATATATATATATATGTATATATATATATATATATAAATATATATAAAATATATAAGTATATGGTTAATAAATTGTGTGTGTTGATTTATGCTGATCCGGATCATGCCAATCCGGACATGGCTAAGGGCCTGTTTTGCTGCAGGGGACTGCCTAGGTTAAAGCCCACCTTTTTCAGGACACCATGGGACACCTGGAGGCATTTAGGGGTTAAATGCAATGTATGGTCTGATTATTAGTTTAAAAGAATCAAAAGGAAAAATACAAGGATGTTAGGTGCTTGCTTTATGGTCAATAATGCATAAGTCTGAACTCCAACATCGCTGAATACAGAGTATAAATATTAGATACTAAAAGGATCACACACTTTATTTTGAATAAATAACATCACTGTATTTTTACCAATATCTGAATGATTCCATCAGTAACTGCTGTTAAAGAGTCACGGTCATGCAACCCCCTCCTTTGAGCATTTCATGAATATAAAATCTATTTCACTACAATTACAGTTACAAACCACTAATCCTTCTCACAAAGAAGCACTGAATTCAATGCTTCCAAACAGCTTCATATGTTTTGTGATGACTTCTGAGATCTTAGAGGCAATAGCTTTATATAACAGAAAGCCAACAACTGAAACGCCTTGTTGTACATATAAAACAGCACTGATATGTAAAATAGAGAAAGCATCAGTTACTTCCTAGTTTGGGGAATCCAACACAGACTGAAGAAATACAGAGACAAATGTATATTTTTATTACTCTATTACTTCATGTATTGTTTTGCATATTTTATTACAATCTCTGTGCTACACATAAGGAAGTATCACTTGTTTATATATCTAGGTTGCTCCTCACAATGTTGGTGTTGTACTTCAGACAAAGGAATCCTAATGCTTCACATATTCTAGAGTTGGAATAAAACAGGGCTTGACAAATATGGGATTTGTGAGCCAGATCCTTTTGAGGCGGCCAGCTTCGGGGAAGGTGAAGGTAGGCAGCCGGCTCGGGGAGGGTGAGGGCAGGCGGCAGGCCCGCGGAGGGTGAGGGCAGGCGGCAGGCCCGCGGAGGGTGAGGGCAGGCGGCAGGCCCGCGGAGGGTGAGGGCAGGCGGCAGGCCCGCGGAGGGTGAGGGCAGGCGGCAGGCCCGCGGAGGGTGAGGGCAGGCGGCAGGCCCGGGGAGGGTGAGGGCAGGCGGCAGGCCCGCGGAGGGTGAGGGCAGGCGGCAGGCCCGCGGAGGGTGAGGGCAGGCGGCAGGCCCGCGGAGGGTGAGGGCAGGCGGCAGGCCCGCGGAGGGTGAGGGCAGGCGGCAGGCCCGCGGTGGGTGAGGGCAGGCGGCAGGCCCGCGGAGGGTGAGGGCAGGCGGTAGGGTCAGGGTAAAAAGGCCTGGAGTAGAGTGGAGTCAGGCGGCGAGGGAGCTGTAATCTTCTTTCTCTGCTTTCCCGCATGCCCTTCAGTAATGCATCACTAAACAGCTCGCAAGGAAGCTGAGCAAGAAGAGCTTTAATATGATCAGAGCATCCCCACTAGACCCCAGGGAAAGCCGATCCACTCCAGCTTTTCCAAAAGTAGGAACACTGGGTGGACTGACATAAAATATAAAAAATATTAAAAATAATTTGTGAGTGTGTGAGAGAATGTGTGTGAGTGTGTCAGTATCAGTGTGTTTGTGCCTGTGAGTGTTTCAAATTAGTGTGTGTCCGTCAGTGTGTGTGTACCTGTCAGTCAGTCATTCAGTAAGTGAGTGAGTGTGTGTGTCCATCCGTGAGTGTGTGTGTGTCCATCCGTGAGTGTGTGTGTGTCCATCCGTGAGTGTCTGTCCGTGAGTGTGTGTGTCCATCCATCAGTGAGTGTGAGTGTCTGTCCATGAGTGTGTGTGTGTGTGTTTGTTTAGGTTCCTGGCCTTTTCTCTGAAAAGACAGTGTTTACATTGAGAAACCTGCAGGGACATGCTATAGACACCAGAAACATTACATTAAGCTGTAGTGGTTCTAGTGACTAAAGTGCCCCTTTAAGAATTGTATTTCTGTCGCGGAAAACAAACAAAAAAAAAACCAACTGGCTCCTAACTTATTTTTTAGCTGGCTCCAATATTCAAAGCAAATTTGTCAAGCCAGGTACTAAAAAACAAGATCTCCATTGGGAATAAATTCAAACTGTAACACAGGATATCATGAGTCAGCTACTTCCATGGCTCCACAAATGTTTCCCCTAGATAAGTTGCAGCACTAAATACAGAAGCCAACTAGACATTTAACAATGCATAGTCAGGATTCAGTCAAAACAACTTGGAAATACACTGGAAGTTAACATTGTTTCATAAAGAGACAATGGAACTGAGCTTATTATCGTATACAGTGGAACCTCGGAACTTGAACTTAATCCGTTCCAGAAGGCTGTTTGAGAACCGATTTGTTCGAAAACCAAATCAAAATTTTCCATAAGAATTAATGTAAATTAGATTGATCCGTTCCAGACCCCCCAAAATTACAGTATTTCAACAGAAATGTTATCGTTTAATAACACTTTAAATGCATAAAATCATACAGAAAAGCAATAAACACAATGTAAATGAAATGAAAATATAACTTCACTTTACCTGTCAGCTCTGTTTGCTGACATAATTGAGCTGTTTGTTGAAAGAACGAAGCTCTGTTCGCGTTGTCTTGTGCTAGGAGGCCGACGTGTCATACGAACGAGGTTTTAAAGCGCTACCAACAAGGTTCATGCTGTGTGATTTTGTTCTAATACCAAGACATTTTTTTCTCAAATATTTTGTTTGAATACCAAATTGTTAGAGTAAGGGAGCGTTCCAGAACGGAGGTTCCACTGTATATTCAAAACATTAAAGACTTTATATTGTTTTTTGTCTGACTGGTTTTATTCTAAAATAAATAAATAAAACAAACCTAATCCCCAGTAAAATGTTACGAAATAAAACTTAACATTTCTCAGAAAGAAGTGAGTAATGTAAAAATATAAAGAAAATAAAAAATAATAAAAGATGCAAGTTCCCTTTCTTACACAACAAAACCACAAAGCATTTTTAAGCAATCTTTGAAACCTAGCTAAATGATGGTCTGAAGGGTTACAAATAATGCATGGATTATCATTATAACATTTAATCACAGTAATAGTGTAATATTGATTACATATATTTATATGCAATTTTTGCAGGGTGGTGAGTGAGTGAAGATACTCCAAGGGATATTCAGGAACCTCCACACATATTTCCTCTTTCTTTGGAGATGGAAACCAATAACCAGCAAATATAAATCGATGAATCAGTCCAAAACACAGCAGAACAACCGTTCCGAAATCCAGCCGGACAACGATCGGGAACTACAAGCAAACTGGGACCAATCCATAACGAATAGAAAATGCCAACAGTGAGAAGTCCATCACAGAACGATCCATAGACCTCCAGCCAATGTGATGAAGCCTTGTGGGAAGTAGTGAAGATCCCCAAACAGCACAGAAACAGCACAGAGTCAACCTGTGAAAACATAAAAACAGGAGCCGAACGGTTAAATCGGTACTTGAACCAAATTGCGCATGCCAAGACATAATGTATTGATAAACTAAAGCAACACAGTGCCCATAACGCAAGACACAAAACCCACCAGACAAAACATAACATTAGCAGGTCAGAGGAAACATAAACACAGAGCGCATCACAATTACCTACCATCCCCTGAAAACAAACCTGAGAGATAACATACCTCAGAGTAAAGAACAACAAGGGGGGGGGGGGATAGTCAAGTGAATGAAACATAAAAGGGTGGGACAATACTCGCCTCCGTGTCTTTCATAAAATCATGACTTTTTGTCATGAAATAGCAAAATCTTGTAATTTTATGTCAAGACACGGAGGCTCATATTGCAAGTTTAAAGCTGATCAATAACAGAAGAAAAGGCGTGGGGCATAGGTCGAAAGTTAAACTCACGAAAAATTGAGTCATGGGACCAGTCCACCATCCTTATCAGGTCTCCCAGACGTGCGCTAAAGATGGGTGTATCCACACCAGCCAGCGACATCACCCATTTTGCCCAGCGAGCCAAGGTAGTACTGGACACAGGGGCAAAGGGTTGACGAACCAAGAGGAAAAATCGAGGGGACGAAGCCGAACGATGTGCACTCGTCCGAAGCTCATATTCCTGCAAACAGGTCACTGGACATAACACTGGGGTAACCGGAAATCTCAAATACGAAACTTACCTAGTAGCTGTCTTATTGCGTCTGGAGATGTGAAAAGTCACCCCGTCCAGTGTGAAAGACCTAGCATCGTAGTCCCGGGCACGTACGTCCAAAACCAGTGTGCATGAAATGAGGCAAAAAAAGGGAAAACCAACTTGGCCGACAGTTGTCACAGATCCGAATTGGGAGGCCAGGAGGTAAAAGAGTGCCTAGAATAATGAAGTGAGGAATTGGAGGATCGCAGTCAAAGGTGCCAAAATGGGATCCAAGTTCCAAGCCAAGCACCAGCCAGCCGAAGCTCTCCAAGTGGTCCCATATGCTCGTCTAGTTCCGGGAGCCCATGTGTCAGCCAGGAGGCATTGAGTTGCATCCGAAAACCCCTTGGATTTCCCAGGGACCCCTAAAATCCTTCATGAGAGCAGCAGCAACAACCCGTCCAGTAGGAGGGAGTGTCGTTGGCCCGACGGGTCCAGGAGGTGGTCCTGGCATGATGGGAGAAGTCTGGGCACCTCTATCGCCAGTTCCAGGAGCCATGGGAACCATGATTGGGTCCCCCAGAGTGGGGTCAGCAGGATCAGGTCGGCCATTTGGCAGTGTACTTGGAGCAGGACCCGAGGGATCATGGCAAACAGAGCAAAAAAGGCGTAAAGGAATGAGCCAGTCCATTTTTGCAGGAAGGTGTCCACTGCCTCCGTGGCTGGATCTGGGTGCCAGCTGTAGGACTGAGGTAATTGGGAGGTAAGCCGGGATGTGAAGAGATCGATGGCAAAAGGTCGCCCGAGCAACGAGTGAGTGGAGAACACTTCAACATTCCAATGCAATCGCTGCTGTCCACCAGATAGCATGAACTCCATTCCGCATGAGTGTTGTGGAGACCGGGGAGGTATTCTGCCCTGATGACCAGGATCCTGGCCAAACAGTAGGCCCAAAAGTCCTTCGCACAGCGGGCCAGAACAGGTGACCGTATGCTGCCCATGTGGTTAACCTAGAGAACTTTGGAGATGATGTCCATGCGCAGCCTGATGCACGAACTGGCCGTCCCGTTCGCAAAATTCCAGGTCACGAAAGTTGCAGTGGGCACCCCAACCGTGGAAACTTGTGTCTGAATCCACCGTGAACACCAGGTGGAAACCGAAGATGGCCTTCCCATTCCAGGTCGAGGGGTTGTGGATCCCCCAGGTCAATTCATCCTGAGTTTCTGAGTCCAGAGAGACCATGTCCGCATAGGATGTCCCACTGTGAGGGTGTGCAATCTTCAGACGTTGGAGGGCACGGTAGTGGAGAGGGGCTGGGAACACAACCTTGATTGATGAAGCTAGTAGGCCAATGATCTGTGCCAGATTACGCAGCGATAGCTGAGGGCGCGCTAGTGAGCAGCGTAATGACTTGCGGATGAACCGTACCTTGGACGGAGGGGGGCTGAGTGATTCCACTTTGGAGTCTACGGTGAACCAGAGGAACTCCATGCGTTGCGAAGGGGACAGGCAGGATTTTTCCCAGTTGAGGAGGAAAAACCCAGGCGAGAGAGGAGATCCATCGTCCATTGCAGGTGCTTCAGGAGGTCCGAACGATCCTGTGTCATGATGAGGCTGTCGTCGGGTAGACTATCAGCCGAACTCCTGGACTGCACCCTCAAGCCATGGCAGGGCGCATCAATTTGTAAAGCACCAAGGAGCTGACAAGAGTCCAAAAGGGAAGCATGTAAAGCACCAGGTGTCGCCTTTCCAAAGGGGGCGTAATAAGTCCCTGGACGCCTCGGTCACTGGGATCGTTAAGTATGTGTCCTCGAGGTCTTACTTCACCATCCAGTGTCCCCGAAGGAACCAGTCTTACATGGGATGAATGCCCACCTTCTTTAAGTGGCGATAGCTCACCATAGTGTTTATGGCCCAGAGTTTGCTAACTGGGCGCATCTGCCCGCTCCTCATTCTACTAGGAAAATGTAGCTGAGAACCCTGTAGGGGATATGGGTGCTAGTTCAAGTGCCCCTTTTGCGTTGAGGGCCGATAGTTCCACGTCTATGAAGGCATGGTTGGTCACGGAGAGTGAAATAGGGGGAGGAGGGGGAATGTGACCCAGAGTGTTGACCAACTCGATGTGAAACCCCTGAATGGTGGTCAGGACCCAGACATCAGGAGTGACAGTTAACCAGTTGACGGAGCCTGCCCCCTACACCACTATTGGAGAAAACATGGGGTAGATGTAAGCTTCCCATAAGGGCGTCAGGAACCGGAGTTCCCTCTAAAGCGCCATGGTTTTACAGAAGAAGGGAAGAAGGGGGGCCTGGTGTCTCGTCTCCTGGTAGGGTGTTCTCTGGGTGTAGGAGCCTCGTCCCAATCCACAGGCGTGGTAACTGGAACGGCTGGGCAGACGACCCATAAATCTTCCGGCCTTAGTAGAGACCTGTACCTGAAATACCCTCTTCATAGAGGATTGGGCTTTATCCATGGCTGTAAAAGCACCCACAAAGCATCCCAGGTCCTTTATAAAGGAGTCCCCAAATAACAGGCCCTGGGCATCCTTGCCCGCCTCAGTGAGGGCGAGGTTGGTGAGTTTGGGCTCAATTTAAAAAGAATAGCTTTACGCCGTACTATGGACAGGGAGGTGTTAACACAGCCTGCTATGCAGATTGCCGTCCGCACCCAGCCGCGGAGTTCCTCCGGGTCAACCTGCCAGTTTTCGGTTCTGGCGATTACAGCCAGGTCAAATAGTTTGGCCAAAGGACCAAATACGTCCAGGTGTATATCCTGGCATGATGTAAGTGCCGAATCTAAGCCCTTGCGGGATACCATTCCAACTTTGAGAGAAATTGGGTCATCTCAGGAACGACAATAGGGGTCTCACAGACTTTGCTGAGCACCAGAGGTCTAGTACCCAATTTTCCAGGTATCGTGCCACCTGGTCCACTGGGAGCCATTCCGCCGACCTTGGATGATGAAGAGTATCGGGGTCAAACATGGGTTCCCCAGACAGATCCATGAGGGTGGAACCCGCAGTAGCGGTGGAGTCGCTCCAAGAGCTACTCACTACCATTCCCGATTGAGCGTGGACAAAAGGGGGTCAGTGTCCTGCCCGCATACCTCATCGTCAGAGTCACACACAGACTCGGCATCAGCCTCCTCACTAGACCCGATTTCTGAGTCGGAGTCTGTGCTCTAGCACATTTCCACTGCCGCACCTGTTCTGCCTGGTGCGGGAAGGCTCTTTTGTGTGACATAGGCACGCGATCATGGGTGGTCATGGGTGCACCCATCATATTGGTTCTGGAGGCAGGGGGACTTAAGTGCCTGGATTTGGTGGTAGCCTTTTTAGGTGTGTCCCCTGTAAGGCCTGGAGCGGGACGCGCCAAGTGCGGCGATTTGGCCGAACCTTTTGCAGCTAAAGGGTGCACAAGTAAGGCTGTGATATGGTCTGGGAGAGGGCAGAGGACATGGAGCCCATAGCGGCCATAATGGCGACCGAAACTGAACGCTGTAGCACCAGGGACTGGGCTTCATCAGGCATTGATATAGGGTCTACTGCAGAAGAAGGGGAATAGAGCTGTCAGAGGGGTTACCCAAAACTTGGGGTATGTCCATCATCCAAGGGGAAAAAAGGGACTGGCAGGCATTTTGGATTTGGGCATAGTAATGCTGTGAGATTTCCCCTTTAACTACAAATATATATATATAAAGTACTGTAAGGAGTGAAAATTAAAAACTAAAATGACAAAACAGACGAGCAGGAGTTAATCACCCCAGACTAGCTATACCTTTAAGAGGGTAAAGAAAGGGAGCTCACCAGAGTCCAGACCGGCAGAGAGGAAGAAAAACATAAGGCAGAGCAAAGAGTCAGAAGGACAGGATGTCACAAAATGTCCGCCAGCAATCTAGTGAGATTCGTGGCAAAAAATCATGTGAATTTGTCTAAATTAAAGAGCTGAACGTTCGGCAAAAAGAGACAAATTTATGTGAACAAATAGATGAATAGAATGAATAGGAAAAACAGACAAACGAGCAAACCATTCAAATAAAATTAGTCAAACGTGGCAAACAGACAAATGATGCTATATGCCAGTAAAACTAACGAACAGAATGGTTTTGAGATGAAATTAGCTGAACGGGCTTGATTCATTCACAAAAAACAGCTGAATGGATAGGAGAAACAGGCGCAAAATGGCGCCAAAAAGACAGGAAGAAGGAGAAATGCAGCCACAGACAGCAAGAAGGAGATAAGGCAAACTGAGAAAAGATAAGCGCAACAAAAGGAAGCTCAAGAGAGGGATACAAATAGTAATACCCTAAAGAAGGTCTGGAACCCTGGGCTCAAAGGTAACAAACAAATGCATAATACACAATAACCATAGAAGAATAAATAGAAGTACAACTTTGTAATAATATGAAGAAAATAAAGCAATAATGAGTCTACAACAAATAATAACAATAACATAATAAATAGCATTAATAATAAGAAATTAATGATAATTAAAAAAACATATGGAAGAGAAAATTTGTCATGTACTTATCTTGTTTGGTAGCAGCAAAGAGGAAATATGTGGGGAGGTGCGGTCTATTATACTGGGCCTTGGTATGGGAGTGGCCTATCACTATGGTTACCATTTTTTCTTACTGTTTGTATTCTTTGCTGCTATTGGTGGACAGTAAAGAAAGGGTTAAGCAATATGAGCCTCCGTGTCTTGACATAAAATTTGTAGTTCAGATCACTAAGTGCGATCAATAGTTGAGTTGTGTACATACATTTGATAGGAAAGTCTTTTCTGGAGTAATGGAGCATGGTCTAGAAGTTATGGTGCATCATTCTGCACAACTTTTTTTGTGCTGTGTAAAATCAAAGATTTTCAGAAATTACAGCATATCAATATTAATATATATATAAAAACATATTAATAAGTCCAAAAGAGATGCATTAAAATCAAATTAGAGTAAATAACTGCAGCATGTGGTCAAGTTGTATAGTTGGCAGTTTTGGTGGTTTGCATTAGGATTTTCTCTGAGGTTCCCTTGAAGAAAGGCAGATTATTTACTTGGGAGGCACAAAAACCAACATTCCTTCTGGAAAAGCAGGTGCAGTATGGTAAATGTGCAAATATATTCCAAGAACAAAAAACAGATAATGCATTAGTTTAAAATTCAATTTCTCTGTGTATGTAATGTTTTTATTAACCTGTTTACCATCACCATAAAAACAAACACACACACAAAAAAAAAAAAAAAAAATGTCTTCAAAATGTGTCACAATTCTCTAGGGGCAGTAAACCAGGATTACTCATTTACATTTTAAGAGCAGTGGAAGAAAAATCTGTAATTACATAGGTTGTAGTAGCCACATGTGTATGGAGGACCTCAGACATGTTTTTACATAAAATAAATAAGAAATTATGTGTGTTTAGAAATGTGTCATGCTAATTCAAAGATGTGAACCTTATATCATAGCAAGGAACACAGACATACTGCACGATAAACATGCTGGTTGCATAAACACCTAGAGCTATATCTGAGACAGACTAATCAGATGCTTTGTCATGGTAAATTTTAATAATCTGAACTCCAGTTTTAAGTCAAGTTTAATATCTATAGTGAACACAGTTTGACAGGTGTCAACAGAACCACTACAGCTTAGTGTTACTGTTGTGGTGTCCTATAGCCTGTCCCTGTAGTCTCAGCAATGCAGGAAGACCCTCCAAGGGTTTTTCAGACCCAGGGGCCTCCCACCAGAAACTATGCACAGAGAATCGCTGAGCCACGGTGTTCTCTATGGTCTGATTTCAGCACTGCATACAGCCAATTAAAAAGTTTGGGGTCATGAATTGTGACTGCATCTCACAGAGGGGGACCTTAAGTATCGATTGATACCTGGGTGTCCCTGGTGTGAGCAGGGATTTAAATCCACATGCAGCTCATCTGTCAGTATAGGGCCAAGAAATGATTGATACCTTGCATTGTTGTGAGCAGGGACTATAGGGAAGGACAACCATGATGGAATTATTCAGTCATTGGTCCTTAAAGGGTTAATGCAATATTGCTCATTGAGATAGAGAAGAGGGGAGGGGGTAAGGGGAGTTCCCTCGTCCAGAGCGCTTCCCGCTTCTGTTAGCTTTGTGGAATCAAGGGAGGAAAAAGAAAACATCCCAAGCTGTCTGAGTGTCCCTAATTACAAAACAGTCTCTCTATTCCTATTATATTTATATAGCGCCAACAAATTCTGTAGCACTTTACAATGGGTGTACTGAAATTGTCACTTTTACAAACTGTCATACACATAACAGACACCAGACATTTAAATCATTTGCAAGTTGAGGTGTACTTTGTGTGGAGTATACCATTAATTTGTATTTGTGCATTAAAAAAATAAAAGACCTATATAATGTATTTGTCTCCAAATACATAAAGAAAAAGTACATTATGTAGAGATGAGGTACAAACTATATACTCTAGTGTTGTAAAAATACAATGTATAAAGGACAAGCAAAAATAATTAAAGTGGGCACCAATCATAGAAGTGTTAAAAGCCAAATATACCACAATAAGCACAAAAAAGCATTTTACCTTTATGGAGAACAGTGTTCATCCAAACACTTAACAGTATCAAAGACAAACAAAAGACCAGGGAAAATGTCAAGTGACTATGGTAGTCAAAATAGCAAAATTATCTGTAAAAAATACAATGATATATAGTGTAGTAATCCAAGCACAAAGAATAGGGTGGGGATGGTAGAAAACTCACAAGAGAGATGAACATTCAGGCATATCTCCCTAAATAGGGTACTGGATGGAAAGTTCTTATGAATAGAATCTTCGTAATCACTCAAATTAGAGCAGAGAATACATATAGTGCAGATGGTTAAAATGAACAATGTATTATAAATCAATCATAGATCCTAATCAGAAAGAACTAGCTTAGTACACACAAAAAATGGAATTAGTGGATAAATAGCTTGTTGCAATGCCCTGGCTCAAAAAACAAAAATGATTCTCCTGCTTTCAAGGGCATCGACCACTAAATATAGCTGCAAATCTGTCACTAACAGTGCACCTGATTCTCAAATAAATGTAATGCTAAGATGACTACCCTTTCCACTATTCTCTAAATAAAGATCAACCACTCAAGTAACTCTTAAACCCAGATACACAATGTACAGATGGCCAGAAAGAGTTGAAAAACATAATAAAATAAACTAGAAATCAGCTAAAACAAGTAAAACATTTTTTGCACCAATACTAAAGGATATCAAAATAACGTCCAATACAGTACTTACAAAATTATAATAATGTAAAAGTAATAGTAAACTACTGTGAAAAGTTCTTCTTGCTAATCATTTGTAATATTTTCACTTCAGGAGAAAATACAACTTTGTATCCAAAGTATATGTCAGGATCAGTTAAAAAAAAAAATCCAACTAAATGTCAATCAGTATCCACTTCAGAGTATGGCAGAAGCATCACCTTAAATACCAATTATAAAAAGAGAGATGCAATACATAGTGTATATTTATTAGGCTAAAATTAAAAATCCATTTAAAAACACTTACACAAAATACATGCAAGACTCTAAGCTCACACAATAGCAGTTTAGGTCACAGGTGCTCAGTGCCGATTACTGTTCTCTGCACAAATAAAAAACAAAGCTTTAAAAAAAAAAAAATGTGCAGAATTCAACAACAACAACAACAAACAAAAAAACTATCCTAACAAAAAGCATGTGGACATTCATGAATAAACCTGAAAATGTTCTATTAATGTTACACTTGTTATTGAAAAACAATAGTATTTAAAGTGGCACTCTAAACACAATAACCAACACAGTTTTGTTATCAGACATGTTGTAACCAATTCAACACATGCAAAACAACAGAAATCCCTTGACATGCAAGTTAAAGATTGCATAAAGATTGTGTTCAAACCCTATCATTACCATGTGAGCCTTGAGATTAGAAGGTTGTTTAGTTGTTACTTGGTCTGTAATTTAACACATCCAAAAATACATTTTCGAGTAGTCAATTTAGGTGAAAACAAGGAGACTTGAGACCCTAGATTTTGTTGTAAAATTAATTAATGAAAGAGGAGGCTCCACCAGTCAGAAGTATCTCATTCTGGTTTATAGGTTGTGATTTTATCACTTGTAACATTGGATGGGTTTAAGTACTCAGTAAGTTGATAGCTTTATATAATACTCCATTTGGAGAGGTGGGTGATAGTAGTGCTTTAAAATCCCTTAGGACAGCATGGAACATCCAGCAGTTTTGGTTTATGAAGGATTATCAGAGTAATTGGACAAAAATAAACCCCGACCAGCACACTTTACAGAGGTCAGAGATAAAATGGTTAAATAAGTCATTATGTTGTCTGGAGAACATCATCTTACCTTATGGGGTTAAACTATTTTTGAAGTGTTTAAACTCAAAATGCTGGTCACAGAACCCATACATTTGGATCTCGGTCTCCAATTCCAGCTTCAATGAGGAAGCCTTTCCCTTGGGTGCTATCAGAATATCACTGATGGAAAAGCTTTAGAAACATACATATGCTACCATGCTTCCATACTTTATCGTCAGCAATTCAACCCGAAATCCCGCACTACAGGAACTAATGATTGTTTCGATAAATGTCTTGCACTCTAAAAGAATATCGCAATGAGTATGTACATATATGTGTCATTTTGTGTATAAATGATACGTGTATCTGTATTGGAGCCTGACAATTTATAATGGAGTTTATGTGTTTGATAGTCTGTGATCATTAGTGTGTAGATATTTGTGTCTACAAGTTTGTACATAACTTGTAAGGGACAAATACAAATGTAAGAGAATGTGTTGGGTGTACTGAAAAGTGCACAGGGTTAGGAGAAGAGAAGGGGGTATATGGACAAAGTGTAACAGATGAGGGGTATTCAACTACCCCCTCCCCTCTTGCAGTGGCGTCGCTAGGAGGGGCCATGGCCCCCCCTACATCATGCTGTGCCCCCCCTTAGCCCTCCCAAATGCAGGCAACTTGCTGGCCATGTTCTTCCATTATATTCCCTCGGGCTGTAACAGTGAGTGTGTCTGTTACAGCCGCGGAGGGAATGCAGTGCTGGGGGCTGTCTGTGGCTGGAGGGAGCACTGATTGGCTCCCCGGCACAGGCCCCGCCCCCAAACAAAGCCCCGCCTCCTGTACATAAGCCCCGCCGTAAAGCAGCAGACCATGCTGCTGCAGAAGATGGCTGCCTGACCCCCAGCAACAGCCTCCAGTGACAGGTAGGCTTAGGGGAGGGGGGGGGGAGGCGTTCACACACTCTACACACACATTGCCTCCCATACACACACACACTGCCCTCCCATACACACACACACACACACACACACTGCCCCCACTGTAACAATTTATTAAGTATCCATTAAAAGATCAACGTTTCAGTGGGACTGAAACGTTGATCTTTTAATAGATACTTAATAAATTGTTATTTTTTAATTCTTGAAAATCCGAGAGTGCTGATCACTATTTGAATTTATTTATTTGAATTTTCCTGGATTACAAGCACTCGGTTACTAAAATCAAAGCGTGAGTGCAAGGACTTTTCTAGTGCTGATCACTATTTTAATATATATATTGACTTGTAGGAATGGCATACATTTTTTTCCAGGGCTGCTTTGGATTTCCGGGGATTCCCAGTTTGGCTTTGCCAGCGAGTGCAGCACACTTTAGCCCTGTTACACACATCTGGGAGCTGCTGTTGACCGGTACTAGTAGTCTAGAGATTGGGACATGGGGTATATGCTCAGCTATCTGTATAATACAGATCTGTGTGTATATAATATCCCGGGATAGTCAGTGCTTCCTGTATAGTGCTGCTCTCTGTATAATACAGGCCTGAGCACTGACTGTCCAGGGATAGTAATTGATAGCTGTGCTGCAAAATGTCCTTGGAAATTTTTTTTCAAATGTTGGCAACTATGGCACTGTATCAAGGGTAATGTTTTTTTAATAATCCCTGGTGGAAAATAATAAATCCTCCACCAGGTATTATTAAAAAAACAAAACACATTGTGTCGGGGGTGGGGCTTAACATGCGACAGGGGCGGGGTCAAACTGTGGTGAGGGAGGGGTTAAATGTGCCCCCCTACTTTTGTTCCTGGCCCTCCATGTGCCCCCCCCCCAAAAAAATGAATCCTAGAGACGCCACTGCCCTCTTAAAAAGCAACTAGAGCGAGTAGATATTTTAGTAGACATAAAAAAGGAGGGTGGGGTCAGATAAATTATCTATGTAAGCAAAAAAGTACTAGCATGCAGAGTTTATGTTTGGGAAAAGCTAGACTGTAGTAATTCTTCTATAATTGTAGTTATCTACCATGACTAAATGATGAACACACACAATTCCCTACATATGCAATTTTAGCATTTGAAAACCCCGATCCTTAAGATGAAAGCTGTATGTGTTTGTTTTCCGGGTACACATCTGAGATTTCTACTGTAACGATATTACTTTAAAATGAAAGTCACACAGGAAGACAGATTTGTCTGTGGTTAAAGTGCTAGCCTCAGATCATTACAGTTCAACATGGGAAAAGCAGAACTGTCACATGCAGGATCTAAAAGGCTTCCTACATTAAAAAAAAAAAGATTTATATTTCCAGACAGTCTCTTAGTGGAAACAATCCAGTTTAGCTCTACAGAAAATGATAAACAAGACTATAAAAGGATGCTCCTAGCAGCGAGAAAAAAATAATAATCACCTCAGTTTCTGAACTTGTCATTCTCGTCAAAATTAAAATCATGTTGTAGCATGCTTATATGTACACTACAACCCTTAACTTTTTTTTTTTTTTTAAAAGCCCTTTTTAGTAAACAAGCCCAAATGAAAACATGCATGCATTTCAAAAATAAATGTCATTGGAGTATATCTAAAAACAGCTTCTAAAAGACACAGATTTCTGGTCTACAGCCTTTGCAGACCAGTTGACTGACCGACAGCCATGGGAATATATCCAGGTTCATATATGAAAGTGTCAATTGCTACTGAAAAAAATCACACTCTTAACACAAAATAACTATGGAGCCTAGCAGGTGATAATCTACAATTTTTGTTTTTTTAACGTGCACATGTTGCACGATTTTGTAGGTCATGCCCAAATGATACTTAATTTTTACCCACAAAAGTAGGCTATGGAAACAATATGGTTAACTTGTGCCCACGATTACTATATCGTGGGCACGAGTTGACTATACCCTTGGCAGCAGGACCGGTGCTTACCTTCCTGCTCCTTTTGTAGGCACCGGTATCTTCCTGGATGGCCTCCAAACTGGTGGAGAGTCTGCTGGACCCTGTATGACATAAAGAGGACATGACTTCCGATGCCCTCCTCTCACACTCCCCAGTGGACCTGGCAGATCACAGAAGAGGACTCCCAGCCACCAGGCCAAGTGTGGTGCTCCCAAACACTGTGAGTAAGTGCTGGACCTACTGCCAAATATATAGTTTTCTAAATCGTTGACACAAGTCAACTGTATCATTCATAAAGCCTTCTTTTATCGTGAGTACGCTATAAGTATCTTGTGGACATGACCTACTAAATTGTGTCCAGGTGACCGTGCAGAGTGCGCACAATTAAATACGTTTTTTTTTTTAAATTGTGGGATGTCATCTGTGGGACGCCGTAAAGAACAAGATAAAGTGCTTTAGGAACCCTATGAGCACTGTTTTACTTTATGGGGTTAAACTTTTTTCAAAGAGGTTAATTTCATAGTGCTGGTCATGGCACCCATCTTCTCAGCTCTCCCTTGTCCTCTGACCTAGGCTTCAAAGAGGAAGTGTTTTTCTTGGCTTGGCCATCTTAGCCCAATACTAGCAACCCATTGAAAGAAACAGTTTAGAAAAGGAAAAATACATTTACTGCAAGTAAACATTTTATCTAAGATTAGAGGCAGTGCAACACTAGGTATACCATCTTGTCTTCCTGCAAGATAGCCAGGCATGTATGAAAGACAGAAAAAAATAAAATAAAAATATTAAGCCTCTCGTCTATCCTAGAGCTCTTTGTTGTAAAAGGCCCACAAATGCCACAGAAAGTAGACTGGTGCAAAAATATAATTTATTAAATATGGGAGGGAAATAGAAGTGAACTGCCTCTAATTTTAAGGAACAATAAATTTACAGTAAGTAAACATTTTGTCTTTTCTTCCCCAGATTATAGGCAGTGCAACACTAGGGATTAAGAATTAATCCTCTAAGGGTGGAAAAACATCACTTAACTGCTTGAAGCACCTTGAACATAAAACAGTGTCCTCACAGGCATGTATGTCTAACATATGATGTTTAACAAATGTGTGGATAGAAGAGTCTGTTTGAAACAGAAGAGAAAAGACTTGGTGCCCTATAGGTTGACATTACTCTGGTGGAATGAGGTTTAATATGAAGTGGAGGAGATAAGCCAGATGATTTGTAAGTCAAAGATAGAGTTTATTTGATCTTTAAAGGACCACTCTAGGCACCCAGACCACTTCAGCTTAATGAAGTGGTCTGGGTGCCAGGTCCTTCTAGGGTTAACCCATTTTTTTTTTTTTTATAAACATAGCAGTTTCAGAGAAACTGCTATGTTTATGAATGGGTTAAGCCTTCTCCCTAATCCTCTAGTGGCTGTCAATGAGACAGCCACTAGAGGATTAGGGGGAAGGCTTAACCCATTCATAAACATAGCAGTTTCTCTAGAGGCGCTTGCGTGCTTCTCACTGTGATTTTCAAGGACCAAGGATCCTCTAAAGTCCAATCCTTTCTAGTGACCTTGGTAGAGGACAAAGAAATGTTCAGAGTTTCTGAATTTCCTAGTTTTTTTTAATGTCCAGACAGTGAATTATTTTTTCTTTTTTCTTTTGTGGATTTTGACAATAGGTAGGCAAGATTATTTCTACCTTAATGTTGTTCATTGAGGCAACCTTTGGAAGGTTAAAATCATTAAATGACCACAATAGGCACCCAGACCATTTCAGCTCAATGAAGTGGTCTGGGTGCCAGATCCCTCAAGGATTAACCCTGCCTGCTGTAAACATAGCAGTTTCAGAGAAACTGCTATGTTTACAATGGGGTTAATCCAGCCTCTAGTGGCTGTCATTGATTTTCACAGTGAGAAAATTCCAGCATCCATAGGAAAGCATTGAGAATGCTTTCCTATGGAATGGCTGAATGCGCGCATGCGCATTCAGCCGATGACGTCGGAAGTAGGAGGAGAGTCCCCAGCGCTGAGTGAGCCCGGCGCTGGAGAAAGGTGAGTGTTTAACCCCCTTCCTCCCCAGAGCCTGGCGGGAGTGGGACCCTGAGGGTGATATGTACAGGTTTTATGGCGTTTTGGGAAGTTACAGGGTCAAATATAGCACGTTACATTTGAAATTGAAATTCACCAGATTGGTTACCTTGCTTTGAGACTGTATAGTAGCCCAGGAATGAAATTTACACCCATAATGGCATACCATTTGCAATAGTAGACAACCCAAGGTATTGCAAATGGGGTATGTCCAGTCTTTTTTAGTAGCCATTTGGTCACAAACACTGGCCAAAGTTAGTGTTAGTATTTGTTTGTGTGTGAAAAATGCAAAAAACGCCAATTTTGGCTAGTGTTTGTGACTAAGTGGCTACTAAAAAAGACTGGACATACCCCGTTTGCAATACCTTGGGTTGTCTACTATTGCAAATGGTAAGCCATCATAGGGGTAATTTTCAATCTTGGGCTTCCATAGGGTCTCAAAGGCAACCTAACCAATCTGGTGAATTTTAATGTGAAAAAAATGAAACACAAGCCTTATATTTGACGCTGTAACTTTTGAAAACACCATAAAACCTGTACATGAGGGGTACTGTTGTACTCGGGAGACTTCGCTGAACACAAATATTTGTGTTTAAAAACAGTAAAAAGTATCGCAGCAATAATATAGTCCGTGTAAGTGCTGTTTGTGCGTGAAAAATGCAAACAACGTCGCTTTTACTGGCGATATCATCGTTGTAATACATTTTACTGTTTTGAAACACTAATATTTGTGTTCAGTGAAGTCTCCCGAGTAGAACAGTACCCCTCATGTACAGGTTTTATGGTGTCTTGGAAAGTTATAGGGTTAAATATAGTGCTAGCAAATTAAATTCCCTTTACTTTTGGCATGGGTTGTCAGGCAGGTCCCGCTAATTGTTATTAATTAAGATACCTAATTATGTAAAAATATTACATAAATATATATGCAGAATATATATATATATATATATATATATATATATATATACATACATATACACACACACACACACACACACATACACGTATGTGTATATATGTATATATCTATATAATTTTTTAAAATATTTTTATTTATATATAGGTATATATATATATATATATATATAGTGATATTTACGTATATATTTATGTATATAGATATATATTATTTTGTTCTACGTGTATTTTGAGATTATATATATATATATATATATATATATATATATAAAAAAATACAAAAATACAAATGGATGGTTGCACTCACGGTTTTTGAATTAAAAGTCCAAAGTTTAATGTCAGATACTAAAAGCTGTGATCAACGTTTCAGTCCTTCCATGAGGACTTTCATCAGGATCATAAAAACAAACATAGTATAAACAACACATTTATATACAACATAATTAATTAAATTGAACTATTTTAGGTGAATCAGCTTACCCCCAATGTGTCTTGCTGTCTAGTCGGCGTCCCTGTGCCCCGTGTGCGCATGCGTGGATTTGCTCCGCCCCACATAGTGACATCACATTACGTCGACGTGCCCGACCGTAACCATAGCGACGCGGGCATACAAACCCGTCGCTATGGGAATAAAGTACATACGGATGAAGAAATCGTGTATTTATAAAAACACAGTGATCATAATGACCAATGTATTTAATTGTGTGTGGTGTATAAAAACAGTGAACCGACATAAGTGATATTGCTCCAATAACGGCCATGTCATAATGTAAAAGTATGGCTGGATATCATTAAATAGAAAAGTGCTGTGTGCAAATAAAGTGCCAACAAGCAATTACTCAGTGACACCTAGTAAGTTATAGTGATTAGGATCATATATAATGTGAGTGAATATTTAAAACAAGTGAATATTTAAAGTGTCAATACAAAGTGCTGATAAAGATTTAAAGTGACAGAGTGCTACTCTTACTGCATATATATTGTGCAAAAAACTATATATAAAATAAAAACACTAATTACGTTCACTAATACACACACAAAGGATATCAATTTGAGAAATGGAAACCTGGGTACTATAGAACTGATCGTTATACTTATAATAGTTATTATAATGATCTCCAACTCATGGTTAACATTATCTCAGATTGTATCTTTAAAAACATTAAAAAATAATATAACAAGCTGGAGTTAATCTGATCTGACTACAAAGACATTATTACACTGAGCCACATTATTGCATATGCCTGGAAGCAGCAACATACAGGGAGAATTCTTTCTCCAAATAAACTTTGTTTATAAGATCCTCTTAAAGGGATTATTATGTATAAGCAGATATACACCCTAGTTTAATGAGGCAAACATATCGGATTTTAAGAAAATTGTTGCTACCCGATTATGGATCTACAAAAAAAAAATTTTTTTTGATAAATGCTGTATAGGGTGAATTAATACTACAAGAAAGAATGGAACGAGATATGTTCATTTAGCCCTTTTGGGAATACCGTGTCCAATTCAAAAATCCAAAAGGTCTCTCTGTTCAACAGAAGTTTTCCTCGATCCCCCGCTCTGTTTGATGCTAAAACTTGTTCAATTGCCACAAATTTTAAAGTAGCCAATGAATGTCCCATCTGCAAAAAGTGTTTGGCAACTGGTTTGTCCGACACTCCATCCCTATACGCCAATCGGATACTCGATCGGTGTCCTCTTATCCTTTCGCATAACGCCGTTTCTGTTTTTCCTATACTAGGCCACATGGACACAGTTTATAAATAACGTGTGTAGTTTTACACGTTATAGTGCTCTTAATGGGGTATTGTTTGTTCGTGTGTGGGTGAAAAAAACTTTTTGCTGGCGTCATGTGTCCACATGTAACGCACCCAAGACATCGAACACAACCCCGATTTTGAATAAACGTGTTGTCCGAGTAGCTTAGAACAGGATCCGTGTTTACTAGTAAGTCTTTTAAGTTCTTGTTTCTCTTATAACAAATAAGCGGTTTTTCACGAAATACTTTGGGGAGAGTGTCGTCCGTTGCCAGAATTCTCCGGTTCTTTCTTAGTGATGTCACCTAAAATAGTTCAATTTAATTAATTATGTTGTATATAAATGTGTTGTTTATACTATGTTTGTTTTTATGATCCTGATGAAAGTCCTCATGGAAGGACTGAAACGTTGATCACAGCTTTTAGTATCTGACATTAAACTTTGGACTTTTAATTCAAAAACCGTGAGTGCAACCATCCATTTGTATTTTTTGGGCTATACATGGTTGGCACCCGGTCACAAAGGGACATATCAGCGTGAGTGCAGGAACTACTTTTTTTTTTTTATATATATATATATATATATTTATTAATTTCACAATACAGTTAGAACGAAATATCAAATAGATATATTACAGATTTTCTTTTGATACCCAATAAGCATAGGCTGATTGCAGGATGCATAGATAAGACGTCTGTGCTTGGACAGACATTTTCCTTTCTCTACAGGTTTCTCAGAGGTTTTAGGATTAGACATATTATAAAAGAAAAGAAAAACAACTAAACTAAACACTTTTTTACACAGTCCTGCATGGTTAGTTTGCTGCAAGAAAAGGGAATAACTCTAGTGTTGCGCCTCCACTAATCTAGGGGGGAAATTTACTTACATTTATACTGCATTTTGCTCAACAGCATGCCAATAATATACCAAGACCCATCAACTGACAATCTCAGCATATCATCAAAAGAAAAAAAAAAAAAAAAGAAGAGAGAAAACGTGTTCAGGTACTTGGAGGAAATGGCCAGAACATCAACAGTATGTCATGTATATTGGCAGCATTAATTACAGAATGCCCTTCGAGTTCTATTTTCACCCAAGCCATAAGCAGCAAGTCAAAATGGCAACAACAAATAATAAAAAAAAAAAAAAGAAAAGCTGGACATTTTGAATAAAGAAACATCAAACCTGAATTGTTTTTGGTTTAAACAAATATCTTTGAAATTACTGCGACACTTATTGTTTAAATTAACAGTAAAAGGTGTAATTTTGGATCTATCAAATTTCCAGTTACACTCCACCAAAATATGAAAAAGAAAATATGCAAGAATTATGGTGTATAACACCTCAACACAAAATTAAACGGGTCATGAACAAATTACTAAAAACAAAAGAAACCTGTTCTATATTTAAAAAAAAAGTGAATATTTGAAAGTTACAATATTTTGTTCGAAATAACTATTTCAATAAATACAGAATACAGTGTTACACTATATTGGATTATTTTGCATCCCTTAGGTATTTGGATACATTTCCATCTATTGCATCTACGGAACACTGTTTTACTGGACGTGGATTACATCATTTGGCAAACTAGTCCCAACACACATCACCCAAGGACTACTGAATACTATATATTTTACAATATATGCTTTTAATTGTATTTAATTTGTTGTGGATAACCCTAATTTTTCCATTGGGGGTTTATCTACTAAGAGCTGACATTGTTCTATTTACTGTTTATGTGGAATTTGAAAGGAAGTTTCTGGAGTGTATTGCTGGTTTTTCTCTATAATTTATATACTAGAATTGATTTTATTTTTAGTAATTGATTATTACTGCGTTCCCTTATTTATCTCGCTATACACAAGCATACTTCACATAGAGACTTAAAGGGACACTGTAGGCACTTTATTTGCTTAATCTCATTGAAGTGATTATAGTGCCTGGAGTCCTATGCCACCATCTTTCCACTCAGTGTTAAAGAGGAACTGTCTTTTACCCCTTTTTAGCATGGCCAAATAGATAACTAAAATTTTGTAACGACTTTGTATTGCTTAACATTTTAGCTTACAAACTTTGCCAGCCAAAGCAAATTCGCTTAAAGGACCACTATAGTGCCAGGAAAACATACTCGTTTTCCTGGCACTATAGTGCCCTGAGGGTGCCCCCACCCTCAGGGTCCCCCTCCCGCCCGGCTCTGGAAGGGGGAAAGGGGTTAAAACTTACCTTTTTCCAGCGCTGGGTGGGGAGCTCTCCTCCTCCGATCCTCCTCTTCTCCTCCCCGTCGGCTGAATGCACGCCGCAAAAAGCTGCGCGCGCGATTCAGTTGGTCACATAGGAAAGCATTCATAATGCTTTCCTATGGACGCTGCGTTCTCACTGTGAAAATCACAGTGAGAAGCACGCAAGCGCTTCTAGTGGCTGTCAATGAGACAGCCACTAGAGAAATAGGGGAAGGCTTAACCCATTCATAAACATAGCAGTTTCTCTGAAACTGCTATGTTTATGAAAAAATGGGTTAACCCTAGCTGGACCTGGCACCCAGACCACTTCATTAAGCTGAAGTGGTCTGGGTGCCTAGAGTGGTCCTTTAAGGGACACTTTAGGCAGTGTAAACACTTCATCTCATTGAATTTGTAATAGCATCTGGAGACCTATGACACTGTCCCTCCATTGAGTGTTAAAACATTTTCGAGGAGTTTAATACTGAATTAGGGTTCCAGCCTTCACAGGGGGCATGGCTAAGGCAGACATACTTCATTCTAGCCATAACAATAAATACCAGCTATTAGTGTTGTGATAGAATGAACGTGGCCCGCTAATACTCATACTTACAGCTGTCCATTGGTGCTCAGGCTAATGCTTCATCTTTTGAACAAGCAGCAGAGGGGATGGATTTCTGGGTACTCTCATATAACGCTGAAAGCAGGCTTCCGATGCTCTGCCTGTGTGCCAAGAGAGGTTGAGGCACTCAGTGAAATAAATAAATCAAAATAAATATAATATAAAATATAGGGGGGGGGCTGACCGCCATGCTGACAGGTCGCGTGCGGGAATGCTGACAGGTCGCGTGCGGGAATGGCTCGAGCAGAAACTGGCCTTTTTGACTGATAACCAGGGCTCACAGCCTTAATCCGAGCCGGAAGGGGACAGCACTGTGTTTGGGCTGAAGTTGGCGCAACAGCATGCTCTGAGATTGAGAGTTTAGGGGCCCCCGGGCTTTAGAGTTTGCAGTCCTCGAAAGAATGCTGCCACCCTGCTCACTTACCTGGCTGCCACACGACTGCTCTGTAACACGCCTCACGGCCCCTTCCCCCCTTTGGACGGGGGGGAGGTGTGGGGGATTTCCGTTCCACACTGGAGGGTACCGAATTGGTCGTCAGCGAAGCATGCTGAGCGTACTCCAATGCCCCAAATCTAAAATGTTTGTCGCACTGACTCGCCACCACGTGGCCCCCAGAGAAATCCCAAACTGCCTCAGAGGGACTGTGTAACTTCATGGCCCCAGCAAGCTGTACACCAGACACTTGTACCCAGCTATCGGGGGGTTTTACTTACCTGTAGTGGGACAACGCTACTAAGGCATATACAGTGTGCTTGGTACTATGTGTTTGCCTTGTATTTTGTGTCCCTAGTGTCTATTCCCACCAATTCCCCTTGTAGTCTATGGTTCTCCATGTATCTGTATGGAATTGTTTTATTTGTGTGTTTCCCCTTGTATTTTTACAATGTATGATGCATTTTACTCTTCAGCCACGGGGGTGCACTCCGGTGCACGGAACCCTGTGGGCCGGACCACCCCGATACAGAATTTAGAATGTGTGGTTAGAATGTTCACACCTCGTTAACGACAACAAGCGAACAAGCGGCACGTGCTTCCCCTGGCTGGCCGCCGGTTCGTATAGCCAAACGCCATCGGAGGCAGCATTCGTATCCCGAACCTGCATGGGGGTATCCACCAGAGAGAGGGATGCGCACCAGCGGGAATTTCTGGAGCTGGAATTAAGTTTCACGGCCGCAGAGTCCCACTGGTCGCATGAAAGTCTGTGACGACCAATTGGAGATGGAGCACCCATTCAAACTGGGTTTGCACCATTCTCCTGGTTGGTCGGCACGAGTGAATGCTGATTGGTCGCTGCGGGGCGCAGACGATCAATCGGAGAAAGAGCGCTTGTTCAAAGGAGTTTTGCGCCCTTTCTTCTTATTTGGTGGCGAAACCCCTCTCGTCCCCGAACACCGATTGGTGCAGTTGAGTTTTGCGCCCTTTCTTCGGATTCGTTGGGGAAACTCCTTCCTAAACGCTGATTGGCGCGATTTGGTTCATGCCCTTTCAGCTGATTGGTTGTTGCTTGGTTTTTGCTTGGTTTAGGCACGAAGTTTGAATTCGCCAGACTAAACCAAGCAACGCCATGGAACTAATTTCGGGGATGTACAAAGCCTCGTGACCTAGCCTCTGTAGATCCGATCGCCCCGCTTTTTGCTGGGATCCCAGATGGGACCCAGGGCTATCTAGTATGTTTCAACCCTGTAACCCCTTCCCTTCCAGGGGCGCTGTTTGGTATCTCCCACGGCGGGTGATGGCTATCTGTAACCCAGCCCCCTCCTGCCTGGGTCTACACTACCCAAGCCTCAAGCCAGGCGGCGTGGAACCCCACATCACAGCGCTACACCCTGGAGGGAGGCCCATTGGCACCGGGCCGCCAATGCCTAATTCCTGGTGAGGGCCTGACCAGCTCCTCTTCTATCGGGCTGGGAATGCACGAGACACACGTCCAGCTCTTGATCCCCAGGGTCGGGCTCCAACCGACCACCCACTACTCCACATCCATGCTCAAGACTGGGAGAGGCGAATGGCGCTGCCATACATGAAGCAGGAAGAGTTTGCACAAAATGGTCAGCATGGGACGTGGACTAACTGTTCGCTGGCACACTACCCTGTCTTATAAAAACACTCAACTACTTACTCTAGTTTGTGAGTGGTACCCAGTAGTCATACTGTTATGTTAGCCTATCATGATAGTGCAGGATATTCAGTAATAATTGCAGTATTGCACACAAGCCTAGTTTTAACTCAGTATAATGGTTTCTCCTGCAAATACTGCATCACCTGACAATGTTACCCTTGTATTAACTACTGCCAACCATTTTTCTATACTGAATTATGTTAACATTCTTATCTGGTATTATTTTTCTCATGACGCATTACGCTACACATGTTCAGTACAATTTTACCGCTTGTTCACAATACAGGCTAAACAATCTGGAAAAAATCCTTTTATTTTCAACAACAAAAAAATAAGTGGCTTAATAATGCAGAGTATACTATCTTATGTATAGCTGTTCTATTATGAATTTGTACGCAAGTGATATAACTTTTCTCACATATCTGTACTGTACCAACTATGCCTCAAATAAAAAGCAGATTTACAAAAAAAATATATCAAATAATAAATACAAAATAAAATAGTGTTACAATGTAACTTTCGTTAATTGTGAAAAAAAAGTGCTTCTTGTACTTATTGCCCTATTAAAAAAAAACAAGAAAACAAGAACATGTTAACATTGGGTATTTCTAAACTCAGGACAAACGTTAGAAACTATTTAGCACAGGTGTTTTTTTGGCGGTTGTAGATGCGTAACAGATTTTGAGAGTCAAAAGTTAGAAAAACTGATTTTTTTTAAAAATAATCAGCATATTTTATAATTATTTTATATTAAATCATATATGATTTGATGAAAATAATGGCATCTTTAGAAAGACCATTTAATGGTGAGAAAAAAACTGTATATAATATGTGTGGGTACAGTAAATGAGTAAGAGGAAAATTACAGTGGTAAGTGGTGTCCCTCAGGGTTCTGTTTTGGGACCACTTCTATTTAACATATTTATAAATGATCTTGAAATAGGCATTGAAAGCCATGTATCAGTGTTTGCAGATGACACAAAACTTTGTAAAGTAATAAAATGTGAGCAGGATTACTGCTTTGCTGCAGAGAGATTTGGATAGATTGGGGACTGGGCACTAAAATGGCAGATGAAATTTAACATAGAGAAATGCAAAGTTATGCACTTCGGGGTTAAGAATGCACAAGCAACTTACACACTAAATGGTAGTGAATTAGGGATAACCACACACGAGAAGGATTTGGGAATTGTTATAGACAACAAATTAGGCAGCAATATGCAATGTCAATCTGCAGTTGCTAAGGCCAGTAAGATTTTGTCATGTATAAATAGGGGCATAAATTCTCGGGATGAAAATATAATTTTGCCTCTTTATAAATCGCTGGTAAAACCACACCTTGAATATGCTGTGCAATTTTGGGCGCCTGTTCTAAAGAAGGATATCATGGCACTGGAGAGGGTCCAGAGACGAGCTACAAAATTGATAAAAGGAATGGAGCATTTTAGTTATGAAGAAAGGTTAAAAAAATTAAATCTGTTGAGTTTGGAAAAACAACGCCTGAGAGGGGATATGATAACTTTATACAAATATATTCGGGGCCAGTACAAACCTTTATCTGGAAATCTATTCATAAACAGGGCTATACATAGGACACGAGGTCACACATTTAGGCTGGAAGAAAGGAGCTTTCATCTAAGGCAAAGAAAAGTTTTTTTTTTTACAGTAAGAAAAATAAGGATATGGAATTCTCTGCCTGAAGAGGTGGTTTTGTCAGAGTCCATACAGATGTTTAAACTGAAATTGGATAAATACTTATAAAAACATAACATACAGGGATATAATTTCTAATTAGTGGGGTAATAGCTGCTTTATCCAAGGAGACATCTGACTGCTATTTTGGGGTCATGAAGGAATTATTTCCTAGTTTGTGGCAAAATTGGAAGCCCTTCAGACCAGATTTTTTGCCTTCTTTTGGATTAACAGCAACAACATTTGTGAGGAAGGCTGAACTTGATGGACGCAAGTCTCTTTTCAGCTATGTAACTATGTAACAGCTAAACACAAACACCGCAGAAATGTAAAAACATCATGTAGCACCTCCTTGCCTCCCTCAATATAGTAAAATCTTACTTGTATTCAAGTCTGCAGCTGTTGCCTCTACCCCGATCTACCTGCTTGGCTGACATCATCAGAAGTGATTATCTGAGCCAATCACAATGCTTTCCCATAGGATTGGCTGAGACTGTCAATGAGGCAGATCAAGCACAAGTCAAACACAACCCTGATCAATCAGCATCTCCTCATAGAAATGCATTGAATCCATGCAGAGGCTGGAGACACTGAATGTTAGTGCTGCACTCTGGAAGTACCTCTAGTAGCCATCTGAGGAGTGGCCAGTTGAGGTATCACTAGGCTGTAATATAAACACTGCATTTTCTTTGAAAATACTGTGTTTAATGCAAAAAGCCTGAAGGGAATGATTATATTCACCAGAACAAATACAATAAGCTGTAGTTGTTCGGGTGACTATAGTGTCCCTTTAAGGCCCAAACATTCGAACTGGAGTTCAGCTAGCTTTTGATTCCCTAGTAAATTCATAATTCCTGGATATTTCCTTAAGAATAAATTCAAATTGTAACCCTCCATTTTAAAATTTGTCTTTGAAGCCGCAAACTGAGGTGCAAGAGATTCAAATGATATTGCTGCACAACATTTTTTTTCCCATATGAGAATCAGACAACAATGTTATAAATAAAACATTAAACAGGCTGATGAGACCATATTGCTCAATGTTACATGAAAAACATCACTGAATTAATTGCTGTTGAATTTCAAAAGAACCTCAAAACATACACAAAAAAAATTATATATATATATATATATATATATATATATATATATAAAATGATTGGAAATGACCGCACTCCAAGGACTTGATGATAGTAAAAATAAAATATAACTTTTATTCTATATCATTTAAAAATATCGACGTTTCAACCCCAATACATGGGCTTTCATCAGGATGGTAATACCTGGATGGCAGTATTGCTTTCATCAGGATGGCAATACTGCCATCCAGGTATTGCCATCCTGATGAAAGCCCATGTATTGGGGTTGAAACGACGATATTTTTAAATGATATAGAATAAAAGTTATATTTTATTTTTACTATCATCAAATCCTTGGAGTGCGGTCATTTCCAATCATTTTTTTGTACCTTGTGCCTGACCAGCAGAGGACAATTACTCTCTAATTCAGGAGTGCAAGCATCTCGGTTTTCTTTATATTTATATATATATATTTACAATGACAACATCAAAACCAGCTTACACATAAAATCACTAGATGGTTTTGGGGCACCTCAATTACGGATTTCTATGCTAAGCAGAAACAAATAGGCACTTTGTTTTGATACGTTAATTCTAAACTTTAGGCCACTATACAATTTAACTATTTTTACAAGTTTACGAAATGTTACAATATGGCAATAACCTGCTAAGAGAATACGCCCTTTACTCCTTACTGGGTGCTGATTTTCATGTTATGTAAAATGATGGGGCTTTCCTTGCAATGGGAAATTCCCAGTTATTATTTACATGCCAAGTGAGAAGTACAGTGCCCATGCCCTAAAGCCAAGGTGTGGGCACCACAAATGGTAAAGCAGGCTGGCTGTTTACCAATATAAAAAATATCACACTGTACAGACCAGGACCCTTCCACAGCCCACAGCCTGCCCTCCAGCCCACACCAGGCATTCAGCACAGTACTGAGCGCACTGCCAACCTCTCAGCTCGCATTACAGCTCCCAGGAGTGATGGGAGTAGCGCTCCAGCAGGCTGAAAGGTCCCAAGCCCTGGCACAATAAGAGGAGTCAGACTGCATGTACCTCGGGGCGGTGTAGTTGGGCCGCGGTTTCCATCCGCTGTGGTTTGTAGGAGGATGAAGGCGAGAAGAAGGTGGTGAACGAACCGGATGCCATGAACTGCCCGCCACCACCACCACCGCCGCCCCATGGTGAGCTGATGGCTGCCTGTGCCGAAACCACTCAAACTGCGTGCCGAACCTGGAGGAGGAACACGTACTGGCCGTACTATGTTGAAGCTGCTGTCCTGGCTGAGTGCCACGCATTCTCAGTGAGCAGAATACTGCCCCCGCCTGGCCAAACTGCGAATTCCGCACTGAGAGAGAGCGAAAGAGAGAGGACACTATTCCTGTTCCTGGTGCACAATGCATTACATTCATGTTGAGTCAGGCGAGCGTGGTAAAGGAACAGCCTGTCTGCAGACAATATATGATGGAAACCAATAAGGAAGGATTTTTGCTTTTACAGTAATAACACAGTTAGTCACTGAAGTGAGAATTCAGAGTGAAACTGAAGAGAATTGGATATTTAAGACCAGAGCAGCCAATCTGAAAGCATAGTTGGATTTTTCTTAGTTCAAAGTGTCTTCGGACTTCACTTTGGAGTCACACTTTATTAAATAACCCAGTTAGCAGGCCCGGACTGGCTTTTGGACATACCGGGCAAATGCCCGGTGGGCCACGCTGGCCATGGGCCGAGGCCGGCAGGGGAGTTCACAGGACATCCCCTGCCAGTCTATGCAGGACTGGCACTATCCGAGCGCCAGCCCCGCTGTTTGCCATGACGGGCCGATGGGGAGATCAAATATCTCCCTCACCGGCCCATTTAAATAGACTTGCGGCTGGGGATGGAGGGAGAGAACCCAGCGGAGCTCTATCTTGCAGCTCTGCCGGGTTTCTCTCGCAAGTTCCAGAGCGTTGCTATGGCAACGCCCGGATCTCGCGAGAGTGAACTCTAGCCCCGCAGGTATCCTGGTATCCATTTATAGAGACACCAGAGACAAGTTGCAAGGAAACATGTTATTAAATTTGCTTGCACTGTGCAGAACAAATACAGGGCTTTTTTCTCATGCTAAAGCTCTTGGGCAGAGCTCTGCGCATGGCCAGCCCTTTAAGAGCATTGAACATGCGCACTTTGAGAGGGGACGTGTTTGTCATTAGTGATGACAAAACAAACCTTCTTTTCCCCGCCCCCTTCTTTGTGGGCCGCTGTGATAAAAAATGCCCGGGCCAAATTTTTTTCCCAGACCGGCCCTGCCTGCCAGTTAGTGTACTACATGATATAAGTTCGCCTGGTTGAAAAAAGATGCTTGCTTCTGAAAGTTCATTATACAGAGCAATGTATGGCAGTTTGCTGGTAACCTTTTACATAAAAATTTAATTTAAGAAAAAACTCCTCACTTGCAAAATGGCCATTGCTGACGAATTAAAGGTTGTGGAATGGAATGCGGATTTGGAATAAACAGTTGGGGTCAGGGCCGGACTGGGAATTAAAAGCAGCCCTGGAAAAAAAATATTTACCAGCCCCATAATGCGTTGCGCCACCAGAGTGTGCAGATACAGAGTTAGAACAGATAAATTAAAATTAAAAAGTACTTCAACGTAAAAAGCGCACTCATAGGCTTCAAAATAAATAAAAGTGCAGATTTATTTTAAGCAGACGTGCCTTTGCATGTAATCAATGTTTCAGTCCAACTACCTTGACATATTAAGGAAAGCTTGTTAATGGGACTGAAATGGTGAATGTATGTAGGGCACAACTGTAAAAAATGTTTATTTTGAAGTCATGTGGGTATGCTCTTCACTTTAAATATGTTATTGTGCTGGAGTATGCACCTAGCAACAAGACTGGGCCAATATCTGCTCATTACATATGGTACATATTAATGAAATTTCTCTGTGTATTATGCATATATAAATGTACATTAATATGTGTAAATATAATATATATATATATATATATATATATATATATATTTATATATATATATATATATATATATATAACTAATATACATGTCATATACCAGTGACGGATCCAGAGCCTGAGCCCGGGAGGGGCACTTGTAGATTATTTAAAGAAATATTCCATGCACAATAACCACTACTCCTCTGTGTAGTGGTTATGGTGCCAGGAGTGTCGGCACCCCCTCCCAGAGTAAGTAGTCAAACCGTGTAAGAACAGTTTGACAACTTACCTGGAGTCTGCTGGGATATGGGGCTGTAGTAGGGTATAGGAGCAGTGGTGCAATGTGTGAGGGGTGCAATGTGTGTGAAAGGTTCAGTGTGTGTGTGTGGGGGGCAGTGTGTGAATGTGTATGGTGTGCAGTGTGTGTGTATGGTGCAGTGTGTGAATGTGTATGGTGTGTGGGGGCAGTGTGTGAATGTGTATGGTGTGTGTGTGTGTGTGTGGCAGTGTGTGTATGGGGCTAGAGTTCACTCCTACTACTGCGACCACCAGGAAGTGGTGAGAGTGAACTCTAGCCCGTAGCTCCAGGGCTAGAGTTCACCCTCGTGAGAGCCGGAGCGTTGCCCCGGGTCCTCTCTTTCTCCCCCTCACTGCTCCTCTGTGTCAATGTCTCCCCTCTCCTTCCCAGTCTCTCTATTCCCCCTCTGCCTCTTTCTTCCCCTCCCCTTGTGTGTCTCTCTCATTTCTCCCTCTTTCTCTCTCTCTTCCCCCTCTGCCTCTTTCTTCCCCTCCCCTTGTGTGTCTCTCTCTCCCCTCTGCATCCCCCTTTCTCTCTGTGTCTCTCCCTCCTCTCTCTCTCCCTCCCTCCTTTCCCTGTGTCTCTCCCCTCTCTCTCCCTCCCTCCTTTCCCTGTGTCTCTCCCTCTCTCCCCCCCTTTCCCTGTGTCTCTCCCCTCTATATTCCCCTCACCATCTCTCCCATCTCCCTCCCCCCTTTCCCTATGTCTCTCCCATCTCCCTCCCTCCCTCATTTCCCTGTCTCTCCCATCTCCCTCCCTCCCTCCTTTCCCTGTGTACCTCTCAGATCCCAGCCTAACCAACCGAACGCGACACGAAACACACATTAAATTCAAGTTCTACTCAAAGTACCGATTGACATCAGGGGAACAACCTACCGAATGGCCAGGGCTCCCGAACGGCCTGGAAGTCCAGCGGGGTTCGCGCCGTCGAGTAGTCGATTTCGGTTCCAGGCGCTCGACGACCAAACCCCGCTGGGCTAACAAAGGAACCAAGATGGCCGACTGCCGAGTGGTTTGATCCCCACCTCAGGATTACTTGGAGTCCAAGAGAATAAAATGCCAGGTAAGAAGTAAACATAAAAATATATGTATAAAGTGTATATAAAAGATGATTGGTACAAGTAAAAAAGTGACCAAAAAATCTTTAATAAAGTAAAATACACCAATATAATTTCCACAAACGCGTTTCACCAATAGGGCTTCTTCAATATGGACTGTTACATAATACCTGGCAGGGTTCCTTTAAATAGAGGTACAATTGATTAAAATTGGCTCCAAAACTAAGGGCAACCAATCAGAATACAATGAATGTTAAAAACAGTAAACATATAAAAATAAGTGGGCGGAGGGAGGGCGGTGAACAAGCCGTGATCGGCGGCAAGCAGGAGTACTGAGGGCTGATTGTGAAATGTATAACACATGCTTAAAAATACCATGTAAAAAATAATGAAATGGAAATAGGTGGATAGGCTAAAACAAATAGGAACATATAACAACATCTGAATAGAAATTAATAATAAGACACAAAATGACATGTGAAAAGCAATAAATGCATAAATTATGATAAAATAGGAATGAATATAAAATGGAATAACAGTTATAGGAAATTAAATAAATCAAAGTCCGCATTTAGACCATGGGGTATAAGAGTCTGGAGCTTATACACCCATTCCATTTCTGTTCTCCCAAGAATGTTTTTTATATCACCACCTCTGCAAGGAATGGTACATTTTTTTATTCCCATACACTTTAACATTCTGGGATCTTTGTTATGTTGAATAAAATGTTTGGATACTGAATGATTCAAAGTGGTTATTGTTGATGGTACTGTAGGGTCATACTATGCATGTTTTACATTTACAAAAACCCTTGATTTGGGGGAACAGGGATAAGGATGGTTTCTTATTGGTTTCTCTAGTAAAATTTTTGGTTAAAATAGAATTCAAATTAGGAGCTCCTCTAAAAACTACATTTGGATGTGTAGGTAAAATTTTGTTAAGGATGTCATCCTCTTTTAGGATGTGCCAGTGTTTTTTTTTTATTATCCTTTTTATATTTCCACTTTTATTGTTAAAGTTGAAAATAATAGGCAGAGGCATAGGTCCATCTATGTGTTTTGGTTTGTAAGTTAAAAGTTCGTCTCGGGGGGGCGTGGCCTGCAGCCGGAGATGAACGGACGCCTGTAAGAACAGCTCCGGCAAACGGAGACCTAAAAGGGCTGAAAACAAGCGGTACACCGAGCGCATTATACCTACACTGACCGGAGGAGGTGAGCATCATGTCGCAGAGGCAAAAAAACAAAGCGGAGAAATCCGACCGAGCCGCGTTCTTCCTGACTAAAGCCGCGGCCTCCAAGCTGAGAGAGGGCCAGGAGCCTGCACAAGATGGCGGCGACCAGGAGAGGCGGGAAAACTCCCCTCCTCGCTCACCAGAGGAGCAACCCCTGACCATGGGGGGCATCCGAGCAGTGATGGAGGAATTCACTACCACCATTCAAAGGAACATGAAGAAACAGCTCCAGGAGCTGAAAACTGAATTACATAGAGAGATACAGGAGATAGGTAATCGCACCACACAGATTGAAACCAAACTGGATGAACAAGCTGTAGCTCACAACAGCCTAGCAGATAAGATCCAAGAGCTGGATAATATTTTGGAGGTACACAGAATAAAACTAGCGGACATGGAAGACAGAGCAAGAAGGAATAACCTCAGGTTCCGAGGCATTCCAGAATCTATACAAAACGCTGACCTCCAAAGCTACCTATCAAGCCTATTCCAAGTCCTCGCCCCAGAAATTCACCCTGACCAATTGCTTATCGACAGAGCGCACAGACTACGCAGACCCAAGCATCTACCTCCTACAGCAGAGAGAGATGTAGTTGCAAGAATTCATTTTTTCCACGCCAAAGAAAAAATTATGAGAGCCAGTAGGGTCACAAGCCTGCCCGATAAATACAAATCTATAAAAATTTTTGCAGACCTGTCGGCTGACACCCTGCATTTTCGGAAATCTCTGGCACCCATCACCTCAATTCTGAGAGAACAGAACGTGAACTACCGCTGGGGATATCCAGCCAAACTCCTGATTTCTCATCAAGACGCGATCCACATGGTTACGGATGTGACTCACGGCATTCGCAAGC